AATGTTACTCTCAGTCTGATCTTCCTCTGGGTATTAAGTAAATAGAGTAAGCATGCCAAGTCTTTAATTATGATCAGCAATGGTGCCTCTTTCAAAATTGTGAATTGCGAATGTCATGGCCTCTGGTTTAAAACACGAACCAAATTTAATTGTTTGAAAGTTGTTGCACAATACTCAGGTGACCTATAAGGCCCGTGGGCCTCTTGTTTAATACTCAATTATTTCATGTACAAATATAGAAAAAAAAAAAAAGCAAAATTGAATATTTGTACTTTTGTCTTTCAAAGAAAAATGCTATAAAGCTATATATACACATGGGATGTCACAACTTAGTGCAGATGAACTTTTAAAAAAAACAATATATTTTAAGAACTAATTACATGTAAATGGAAAACATCTGTTTCTATCATAAGCATTTTTATCTCTGAATCTATAAAACATGATCACCACATCACAGAATCACAAATGGAAAAGAAATAATACATTAATAAGGTCTGTTGTTACACTCTACATAAATCATATGCTATTAGACATTATTACTAAGGTGTCCTGTTTTATACCCAAGAGTATAAATGTTCTATTGCCTTTAAATTAAGATAATATTTTCTGACAAATAAATCACAGAGCTCCAGATAAGGTGCGTATTTGCAGAAATATGCATTAAATTTGACAAAATACGCATTGAAAATTAAAATAGAGCATACAATTACGCATTAGCAATCATAGATATGCATTACACCACAAAAGTACTGTGTACAACAAGTTGAAGAATACAGGTTTGACTTACTTAATGATACAAATTGAGGTTAACTCCGTGTTTGATTTTTCTCTGACTCTATGGCACAGTGTACCTTGACTTACTGTATAATCTTCCTTGTCAAAAAAGAATGCTTCCCAATCTTAGCAAAAAGTCTTGTTGGTATTTACAAAATTTATTCAAATAAATGCAGGAACTGACATTTGAAGTTTTTTCCCTCTTCAAAAATTCATACTTTGATTACAAGCTCAAAATCAAAGTAAAGGTCAAAACATTTATATATAAACAAAATACTCTTCAATCATTTTGCTGAAAATCAAAATCTGCATTGATTTGAAAATCAGGGAGTAAATACACTTTGGGGTAAAAAATTATCTGGAGCTCTGAATCAACAGATATCCAGTATATCCTTTTAGAAGATGACAGAGTCAAATGCATCAAAAAATCTAACATGAATTCTAGAAAACTATTTGAATCACCTTTAATTGAGCCAAACTTATAAGAAAAGTTAGTCATGTTTTATTATCATAGATTAGAAAAGGATGATTTGACCTTAAAAATCCTAGCATCAATCACTCAAAATTTAAGTCGAAGATAAAAAGTTTTTCAAAAGTAAGTCAAACTCAGAGGTAAAGTGCAAAGAGGTAAAAAATGTTGGCATCCAAAGGTCTGTACATATGAAATACACATATGAAATATCAAAGCCCCCCACAACCATTCTTAAATTGTAACTAAGGATAAAGTTTGGCAAAATTTTGCAAAAGTAGAAGGAACTCCAAAGTCAATGTCAAGAGGTCAAATAGGGTAGTATCAAAAGAAAGGTCTTGACTCAAAGAATTCATGTGCGAAATATGGATATTAATGTTCTTTGTAAAAATGAGGGCAGCTAGCAGTAAAAAAAAAATTTCAAGGATCATAATGTAGGAATTTTTAAATCATGGCCTTAGTTTTTGTTAAAAAAATATTGTACATACATATATTTATGATGTCATGTTATGATATAAGCATTTCTGTGCTGGAATTAAGGAATAACTGTCAGATTTTTTTTGGTTTCATCAAGATGATCAATCGAGTGGCTTGCAGGATAATTTGCATATGCATAAAATTATCACACAAGCCAATCAATAATGGATTGATAATCTTCATGAAACCAAAAAATCTGACAGTTATTCCTTATATTTACATGCTCTTGATTCCGCAAATTCATGAGCTACAAGTCCCGCTTCTGTCTCTATTTGTCCCGCCCAGCTGTAATTTTTTGTAACCGCACCATTCGATGAACCAGTAGACTTATGTAGAAATAAAGCATTTTTACCATGTTTACTATTAGTAATTTTATCTCTGACAGAGACATTGGAAGAATTTAAATAATAAAATGCTTTCTTTGGTTGTTAATATGGGAATTAATGTCGCAGCTGTTGCAGAAAAAATACAAAAGCGGGTTATGTAATTTTTTTTCTGCAATAGCTGCGACGTTAATTCCCGTACTAACAAACAAAGAAAGCATTTTATTGTTTATATTTACATCTGTATTAAAACTCAATCAAAGTAAAATTAAATTTGTTTAAATATTGCAATTAAGATGAATATGTCATTGTATGCAATAAGTGATGGAACAGCCATTGTTCATGAAATCTGTGCACATGGCTTGCTTAGTGTTGTTCATGCACTGATTAATGGCAATGGTCTTCATAAGAAATAAAAGACAAGCTAATTCAGAGAATTCGTGTCCACCGCTTAGGGAAAAAGTCGGCTCCCCCTGACTGAATTTGTAGAATTATTAAATGTATACATGTATACTGAAGCAAATAAAATACATGTATGTCAATATGCATATAAAGATTTGATTGCTTATTCTTTATTATGTGTATAGATTTTTTTATATGGAATGTTTATCACACTGTAATGATGATTTTATAGCCTCATAAATTTTTCATTTCACATGCTGAATACTATCATTTAGTTAAAAAAAAAAAAAAGTATTTAAAAAAAAAAAAAAAAAAAGAAAGGATCGACCGAGATTCGATCCCAGGACCTCTCACATTTGAAGCGAGAGACATAACCACTAGACCACGGAATCGCTTTACGCGCTATGAAGTATATGCAGAATTGAAGTCACATACATGTATATATTCATATTTTTATGTTCGGTATTCTCAAAATTTTACACAATCCATGGTGTTTGATTTATTAAGCCTTTATTAAACAGTTCTAATAGATGTAATAAGAACATAATGTCCGCCGAGAACCTGTTTTTTTACGCAATAACTCTCCTCATGCCCCTGCGCTAAAAATAGCGACATGTAATACTATAAATACTAATAAAACAAACGGGGCGGGGCACTTTGAGAGGGGCGAGAGACGTCCTAGGAGTTTTGGTATAAAATTACATTGCATAAGCTCAAAATCTTCTTGAAATATCGCCTGGAAATGATAGTTTTACATACAGACAGAATGTATAAATTTACGACCTTGAACTTTGACCTTTTGACCTCAAAATCTATAGGGGTCTTCATTAGGCCACAGGGAGTTGTTATATAAAATTTCATTGCAATAGCTCAAATGGTTCTCGAGATATCGTGTGGAAACGAAAGTGTTTTAACAGACAGAATTTGCTTATTTATGACCTTGACCTTTGACCTTTTGACCTCAAAATCAATAGGGGTCTTCTTTAGTCCATAGGAAGTTGCTATGCTAAATTTCATTGCAAAAGCTCAAAGGGTTCTCGAGATATCGTATGGAAACGAAAGCGTTACAGACAGACAGAAAGACGGACGGACTGACGGACGGACGGACAAACCCAAATTAATATCCCCCACTTTTCAAGCGGGGGACAAAAAAATATTCAGTGGATGTAAATCTAAACAAATTCATATCCAGGGAAAGAGAGATAATTCATTTATAGTTATCCTTAAATTACCATTTCGGCTATAATTTTTAAAAAATCCTAGATTCTCATCCGAATTTTTTGAAAAATTGAGGCAGGCGGGTGGCTTTTATTTTATATTTTTTTCATTTTTTCCTTTTTGCAGACTTATTATTGACCTGGTCAATTGTTGCAGATTTATCTATAATACCCATGCAAATAAAAGTCATAGCAGAGGTCCATTTATCTCTTACTTCACATCATCACCATCTTTAACAACCAATGACCTTTGTTTAATATGTATTGCAGCAATTACTATCTTTTCACCTGTTAAAATCATGCCGATATTCGTGGGGTTTAAAATGAAAAATGAGTGGTAGTTGAATACCCATCCTGATCAGAATTAAGATGAAGAAAACAGAAATTAAAAAAAATTGAGGCGGAGGTAAAAAATCGTGAGAACTGTGCAAAGGGGACAAATATCCCCCGCTGGGTATTTCAGAGAAGGTCCCTTTTTAATTGTGTCACTGTGGCTCTTTTTAAGATATTTACAAATATGCTTAAACAAAACAAGCTTTATAAGTTCCCCTTGACTCTCTAAATATTCTGAATGTGGAATTCTTGCTAATGAATAAATAATCACCATTTACAAATCTGCATTTGCTTTTGTAAACAATTTAAAGTAGCTTATTCTTTAAATGCTACACTTATTGCAAACAACTAGAAGCATTATAAGTATTTTTATTGCATCATTTCAATGCATGTTTGGCCACAAAAAAGTGATTTCAGAGGTAATAATATCATCACCTCTAATTGCTATGATCATAATGATGTAGTACTTTAAAGTACACTCATTGATCAGTGTTTTAAACAAAATAAGAGAATTAGTGTCTAGCTTAATGTCCTTCTTATTGGGAGAAACATTCTGAAGATTTTATGACACACCCATACTTTTAAATACACATAAGTAATTCTATCCCAGATTTTGAGGGTCTATTTTCAATCTTTTTAAATAAAATTTATATTTGATTCAATCAAATACTACTTTGTTAAAACACCTTTTCTATTAGCACTTAATTATTGGTAACTGTGATATTCCTTCAAATAAGATGATCTGAATTCAAAAATATATGACACCTCATGTTACTTTAAATTTGAAGGAAGGGTGATATTAGATATGCATGTTGTTTTATATATATACATGTATTAACATTTGGCTCTGGTATTAGGGCTAGCTCAGCTAGGTTATCACAAAGCTTTACATATTTAAACTTGAAAAGGTTATTTTTATTCATATATGTACTGGCTCCAAGGCTCTGGTAATTGGGCCAGCTCAGCTTGGGAAATGGATTGATATATATTTACATATATACAGACCTTTGGCTCTGGTATTCGGGCCAATTCAGCTAGGTTATGACACAGCTTCACATGTTTGAAGTGGAAAGGGTTGTTTCTGGCCTCTTCAAATGACCTCATGATTTTGTCACTCATCCATTCCACCTAAAGGTCAAATTTACAGAACAGAATCTAAAAGTAAAAGTCTCCCATGCTAGCTTTCCAGTGACTATGAAGAAACACACAAAGCATTAGAAAAAAATATCTGTGTACCAGTACAAGCTCAGAAAAATTAGGGAATATAGACAGAATTTTGTTTATATTGCTTGTTTTGAGTTTTTTTTTGAGATATGACTTGAAATACATTTATCAAACAACACTTTGAATCTAATTTTCCTAGTGATATCTTTTGCTAATACAGTAAACCATACTTATCACGAAGCAACAGGAACAAATGATTATGCTTCGTTATAAACGTATTTCATTTTATATCTGATAAGATCACACTATTTTAAACTTCAAAGACATGGGGAATGAAAATCACTTCGTTATATGGGTCAATTCACTGTAAGTGTGTTCATTATAAGCATGTTTTGCTGTAGTTCTACAAATGGTTATTTCAGTGTCTTTATGATCCACCTTAAATATCTTCTTGTAAGTCAGTCTCTTTTATGTCAATTGTACTTTTAATTATTATACATGCATTTTGTAGCAATTTGCCAATGACCTTCTATAAGTCGATCAGTATGGATTTTTACTAGAATCTGTTGCCAACTTCAGATTTTTATCCTATTGTATTTACCTGTGTTTGAAGGTATTTTCAGGAAGTATGACTATATTTGATCTGATATAAATAATTATTTCTACAATTATAAGTTTATTAAAATTTGTAAGCACTTGTTACTTAATGCATGTTGAAAATAGACTTTCCCTTTCTGCATTATATTAAGTTCTACGGTATGCATTATAAATGATTATTCATTGTCAAGTTATAGTTCTCTTATAAATTTTCTCTATTTCCTCCTCCAGAGAAATATTGAATTTTCTAGGACTAGCCCATAAGTGGGACAGACAGTTTCAGACCAAAATTAATTAATAAAAATCAAACTTATAGGAGAGTATATATGGTATCAATGGTTATATTTGAAGAAAAATATACAGACATGACATTTCCAGATTTCACAAGAAAAAAAATTATTGAAAATGGGATCAGTTGGGTAACCAGCAGCAATATATTTTTCTCAGGCCACAGCAGAAGTTATATATTAGGGAGAAGTATTAGGGTATTAGGTTAATGTTTATATCTAGGTTTCATCTTAGACCATTAAAACTTACTTGAGATTTGGCAAACTCCACCACATTAAAACTGACATTGTTGAGCAGGGCAAGGGAATAGGGTGAGAGTCCAGATTCAGAATTCCTCCACATCTGATCCTACAGTATTAGTGACATGCATGTATTTTAAATAAAGCAATATAAAATACTGTATCATTTAGAATTGAGTATACATCTTGAATTTTCTAGAATCTATTCATTATATATTATATATTCCTTTGTACAAAACTTAGATCTTCCATCGCAGCCCGATCCTACCTCTTGAGGTCATGATTCGAACAAACTTGAATCTACACAACCTGAGGATGCTTCCAAATCAATATGACAAATCATAGATTTGTTGTTCTTTACAACATTTTTTTAAAAAGATTTTCCCCCTATATAATCCTGTGTAAAACTTTGACCCCCCCCTTAAGGCCAAACTCTACCCTAGGCTTCATGATTTTTTTTTTTTAAATTGAATCTAGTCTTGCAACACTATTACCGGTATGAAGAATTCTTATAAGTTTCAACTATTTCTTTAGATCTAATGAAGAAAACAGCCTCCTTTTTTCTCTTTAACTTACCAAGAGCTGAGCCAGTTCTAGCATTCGGCCAGCAGTATCCACAGCAACCAGCACATTGCCATCATTTCTCATAGTCTGTAGGATTGTTGCTGTTAAATATTGATCCTCATAACAATATATTTCAATTCTTAGTTCTAAGTTGTAATTGTATGAATACTTTAACCTTTTTTTTCAAAATAGTCATAATTATATAACCTGTTCATATAGAATATTACACAGATTATTTTAATAGTCACTGAATCTCTGAATGTGCGTAAACTTTAAATATTCTGAAACAAACTTCAGAACTATTCTACATGTATATGATTCTTACTTAATAACTGCTCGTCTCTTGCTCTTCGTCTAGACTGCACATATGTGGCATTAAATGCATCCGTTATCATCAGATGTGGTCTTGAAATATTCTCCAGAACACAGCCATTCAAATGTCTAAAGGAACAGTATACATTTAAAATATTCATCAGAATGAATTTTAGATGATAATACAGCATATTGTCCCTAATATTCATTTCTTTCTTCTGAGAAATGATGATGAGTGCCCAAGTCACCTAGACCCATTAAAATATCAAAGATTTACCTAATTTTAGAATTTTAGTCTACGTGAACGATAAATCTTCCTTGGGTTTACCTTTCTTTCTTGTGATTGTAATCCACAGCGTACACGATTTCTTCCTCTCCATCTTTGATGATTTTCCAGATCGTCCCCCCTAACATGTGACCAGCAGGTAAAGGTGTTATCTGTAGACCATGTCCCTTTCCTTTCAAATTAGCATTCAGAGGATTTTAAACTCACATTTCCCCAGCCAGATCACAATTATTTAGTTTTTTTATATTTACATTCTTATTAATCTAATAATCAAATTTGTGTTAAATACATCAATATGCATGTACATATGTTTAAATGGATGAATAATTCCAATAAATAAAATTTTATTAAGCAAAATTATTGCAAATTTTAAAACATTTATTTAAGTAAATATATATAATTTTACCTTTCAAATTGACAGTCTGTGAGTATTTAAGCTGCACTATTTTGTCAAAAGCAACATCCACATCATCCAGAGTGAATATGTCAAAATCTTCAGTGTTGTGCCGAGACTTACAGAGATAAAATTAACATTACTAGAATTGCAATACATGTGAATGTGGATGATTTAAAAAAAAAAAAAAACTCATAGAAGTATATTGAATTTAACTGCAGTTTGAAATTTGCTGTTCATTGTTTGGGACAAAAAATCCAATTTTTATTAGACAAGAGGCCATTCATATTCACAAGTCAAAAATAACTCTGGGAAAAGATCTTCTGATGCTGAGCTTTTATAAACAATAGAATCATGATTTCCAAATTTCACAGATAATATATTATCTACACAAATGTTTATATTAATATACTACTAAGAAAAAATGTCTTAAACAGACCTGATATAAATCATACATAAACATCTGTCCCATTTTATACACAGGAATGGTAGCATAAATGGGACAGTTCAAAATTCCATTTCCAACCAGGTAAGGGAGAGCACCAAGGTGTATGTGATCAGGATAGGTCAACAGAATAGCATCAATCTGATGAGCATGTCTGAAATTATATTTCATACAACGTAAAATAAATACATAAGTTTAGAAAAAAAAGACTTAACAAAAGTCTCGACTATACAATCAAGAAATTAAGAAGCTTCATCGTGTCTAGATATAATTCCTCCTAATATACATTCCACTCCACCTTATTTTCGTGAGATATCATAGTCATTGACTCTTGATAAGCAAGACAAATTCATGTATTGTGGTTATTGCTTTATACATTAAGGAATACTATTATATGAGAGAATTGATATTTCGCATGCACACTGTCTCGCGAAATTAAGCGAAAATAAAGTTCTTGCTAATAAAAAGTGATTTACAGTATTTTAATTTTTTTTAGAAAATGAAATTCATAAAATTATTGTCTGGATCACCAAACCATGACTTCAAAAAAGAAAGACATGCTTGATTTAGTAATAGCTTATCTGCTGACCGTTTAACTTCTCTGATGAATTCCATACTGAAATCTTCATCCCAACCACAGTCCAACAGAAATCGGAACTCATCCACCTGTAGCATGTAGCATGGAGGTGACTCATTGTGAGCCCCAGAAAATGGCTGTAGTTTTATAATGTGGTTATTGTTTCTATATATTTTTTTTCTCAATATATTTCAGAAATTGATTTGTTTGTGTAGATGCAGAGTTTTAATATTAAACGAATAGTAATAACTCTTACATAGATTTGATCTTCATTTCTTAAGAAATTGAGAGCTTTAACGCTAACAAGCAAATCATGATCTCCCGCCGGGTTTCACGCTTTTACAGCTTCCATTTTGAAAAGAACGATAACTTTATCAACTTCCGGTGAACTTTGCCACTTGAGAAGAATGCGGGTGGGTACGACCCGATTTCTTGTTCGATCCGCGTGGTTACGACCCGATTCCTTGTTCGACCCGCGTGGTTTCGTTCCGAATAAATATTAATTAACAATTTCAATAGTGCCTTATCATGCTTATAGTTCAATAATTCGGCTTTTTTGTACATATAACTGTTTATAATTATAATATTTATAATTATGATGTTTTTGGAAAAACACTGTTTACCCTCTGTTTATACAGTAATTTTTGTGACACCTTATTTTCGGTGCAATTAAAATCAGAGATATTTGATCTTCAAAGAAGGCTGTAATGGTGAGCATGTTAATTATCTAATTATTTATTTACACCACAGTCCCATCATAGTCATTGACCATCTTGATAAGCTATTTAGTCACATCTATTTCATTATTTAGTTTATTTATTTATTTATTTACTATTTAGTCACATCTATTTCATTATTTAGTTTATTTGTGTTTATTATTGCTATATATACATTCTAAAAAAAAAAAATATTGTTATTCATTTCCTATGCATGTAAATTTGTTTACAGTTGGTTATACTTCAAAGTTGTATGTAGTTATGCCACGCTTATTACTTACTATTAAGTATTCTGAAGTATTCAATTATGTCAATTTAATTTAATTTAAACAAAATTTTATTATGAATGAACACAACACAATACAAAGATCAAAGTCATACATATACATTAGTAAATAATAGCTAGGTTGAAAATTATAAAAATATACATGCATAAATCAGTAGAAATGTATATAGCAAAACAAATTAAGAAGAACAAAAAATATATATATAATAGCCGATGATATAATTTAAATTTATATTTTAACATATTTGGCTGGCAACTATATTAATAGTTAATAATTAATAAGAAAAAATAAATATGTTTTGGTTCTGTTGTATGACAATTGAAAAACAAAGGTAAATAAAATATCATACAAATTTTAGTATTAAATGTTATTATGTATCATGCATTAATTTATAAATTTACATTTATATTATTAATCATATTTCAATATCCATAAAATAATGAAATACTTAGCTTAAGTATACATCAAGTTCAATTTATTCACTCAAACCATATCAATGGTACATGAGGTTCAACAATATATATATACAAAAAATAATATACAAGATACATGTGAAATGGCAGAACAATTCATATAAAGTAAAGATAACTATGGAGGACAGACTTTTTCATATACTCTATTTATCTAACAGCATAGTTTAATCAATAGTTTGGAGTCAGCAGATGACAACAATTCTGAGAATTTGAAAAAGAATGGTCTTTTACAATATTTACTAGGGAGATATTTTTTTTCTACATTCGGAGAAAAATTTACATTCAAAATTTATACATTTTAAAATGTATCGATACTCATCAGCTATTTGTCCATTATTACAAAGATTACATAGTCTATCATTTTTGGGAATTCCAAACCATCTCCCAGTCTCAACTGGAAGATGATTATTTGTTGTTCTTAGTTTAATTAAAATTGTTCTAAATTTTTCTGGTAGTAAGGCTAAATATATGTACTGATCTAAGTATCTAAGTTAAGTTAAAATCTGCTTACCTTAGAAAGATGAAAGATGTAAGACATTACAATGTACCTATTTAAATGTAAAATTTAAATTTAAATCCCAATTTTAGATATAATTGAATTTAAATACATCTAAGTAAATTTATTTATATTTAGGTACGTGCCAAGCAACATGCCCTGTGTTGTGATGGCTATATATATATAATTATATATTAATCCAAAGTCTCTTCTTGTCAATAGAATAAAAAAAAAAACTTTCAAACACTTTTGAAATTTTATAGTCATACATGATTAGTAATTTTAGTAATTTTTCTTCAGGTCTTTCAAGGCATCTTGTCTGCTTTGCCTACACCACCAACCGTGGAGATGTTCATGGTGGATTTTGAGCTGTTCAACAAATACAATAAATACAATAAAAAATTAAAATGAATTAATAATTTATCTATTTGTAATTGTAAAATAAAAATGAAAGAATAATGTTTCTGTTTGTAATTGAAATAATTATTTAATTGATATCAATATGATTGATTTCTTTAAGAATACAAAAAAATACTTAACATTTTTTTGTTGTTGTTTATATAATCTAATATCTTGACCATCATTTCAGGAGCCTGGAAAGCTATCCACAGCACCTTTCCTGATGCTGTCATCAAGGGATGCTGTTTCCATTGGACCCAAGCCCTCTGGCGCCGCATCCAAGACCTTGGCATGGCACCCACCTACATGAGACGGGAAGCAACACATCGTTACCTCAAGCAGTTGATGGCCCTCCCATTCCTACCACACCAGGACATCATGGCAGCCTTCCAGACCCTCACTGGCCGGGCCAGCACAGAGGAGCTGCAGAGTCTGGTGGCCTACATGGAGAGGCAGTGGATGAGGAATCCTCTCTTCCCTCCATCTTCCTGGTCTGTGTATCGCATGCCAGTACGCACCAACAATGACGTCGAAGGGTGGCATCATAGGATCAATGGGAAGGCCGGACACAGAGGATGTGGAATGTATGTGCTGTGCCCTCTCCTTCTGCAAGAAGCACGTCTGGTGGAGGCCAAGGTCCATAGTGACAACCTGTGCCGCAACATCAGGCAGTCCACCACGACGGTGCAGAAGAAGCTTACAAAGGCCTGGGAGAAGTACGACGTTGGAGAAATTAGTGCAGGACATTTCCTACGTACTTGTGGTTCGGTGTATGCGCCCGTCTCCAAGGACTAACCGAGATTTGAAGACAACGAGAGAATTGTGAAATGTGAAATGATTAAATGATGATGTGAAAGTTTACTATGTAAAGAGACTGTGCCTTATTTATATGCATTATTTATGTATTATTTATGTATTATTTATGTATTATTTATATGTGCATGAGTGCCGGACACTTGCTATGTTTGTGCCATTCAATGAATGCCTGTTGGGACTTGTGACATGAACTAGTGATGTGGAATTTATATTTTGAAATATTAAGTGATACAATGTGATACAATGTGTTTTATTCATAGTTACTGTATGAAAACTATTATGCCATGACATATAATATTCAATATTTATATGTGACAATATTTATTGTGTATGATGAAAGAAAATAAGAAAATAAAATGAATAAAATTTAAAACAAAAAAATGAGTTCTCTCTCTTTTTCTGTTATCAGTGATTATTCCTTCCTCTTGAATTATAATTAAATACAATTATATATTCTTAAACCTCTATTAAACTGGGGAAATTAAGAAAAAAAAATCTGAAAGATATAATTTATTGATATTTTAGAATTATGAAATAATCACCAGCATATTTTGTTCATTCCTTTACCAGTATAAGTCTGCAGAAATGTTTTGACATGTTTGTGTACTGTGAATAATTAAAAATTAAAACACTCAGACAATATTATGAATTAAATAAATATCCAACCAAGACCTATAATTTGTTTGAATTTTCAATTTGTTTCTAAGGGGAAAATGCTCAGATATAAATTATTATCATATTTCAATTGAATTTAATTACATCCTTGCCCTAAAATCATTAAAAAAAAACACCTATACTTTTGACTTCAATGTTGACAACCAATTAATGACACGTATTCCCCTTATACCTGAAACCATACACCTGTAATTGCTACCGAATATCCATTGTATACCCTATAGTGTGAAGCCCTTCCTATTTACCTGTATATACATATATAAGCAGGTCGAAACCACTCGGGTCGTTACCACGCGGGTCGAACACGGAATCGGGTCGTAACCACTCGACACCCTTGAGAAGATGAAAACAAATTCGTCATCTTTTCTTTCGTCTATCGAGTTTCGAGTACACCACTACAAATGATGAAATATTTGTTTTCAGGATGTTTTTATACTTTCTATCCATCGTAGCGTTGTGTACCTGTCTTATAACAATATTGTTTTTGAAGTTTACATCTCTGAAGCATTTTAACAGTGGAAACCAACATCAGCAGGTGGTACTTAAATTTCATCATGTTTTAGTAATTTGTTTCTTCTTGATAATTTTTTTCTGTGTCCATCATGTTTGTATTTTTTCAAGTTCTAACTTAGTGATGGTTATATTTTAGTAATTTTTAATATAATTTTTCTAACATTACAGTAGAACTTGTCATCATGGTGATGAAAGTATGATGCACAGTTTTATGGTTGTTAATTGTTTTTTAACCGTTATTTATATCACCGTAACAGAAACATAAATACAATATGTGTTGGGAAAACTTGAGCATGTCTGGCACTATCACATGTCAATGATTTAGTAATATAGCTTGAATTAGCTATGTAGCTTGAATCAGCTTAATTTAGCTAATAAATTAGATTTCATTCTCTCCTCTCAAAACATGAAGTTTGCATTTTTTTTTTCAGTGAAAGTTTTCAGCTTTAAAGTTTTCCATGTTTACAATAAATTTTTTATAAAATTCTAGATTCATTGAATTGCATTGCCTTGAGAGAGTTATAGAGACTTTGCACTCAATGTTTTGTAAGATTTTTGGTTAGGAGCCTATATAAAGCAATGATTTTTTATAGTTACTTCTCTTTACAGAGGAAGGTCAACAAGATAAATGCTAATATCCAGCAAAATTAATGTATAGTTATCATACTCAATCATGCCTTGGTCACCACACAAAAGGTGTATACATGCAGTTACCAATTCGTTTAATTGAACTGCATCTTTTGCTGAAAAATATTCAAAACCAAGACAGCAAATAATTGATTTGGAATTTCCTTTTTAAAGTCCCTAGTACAAACATGCATATAAGTAAAACATTCTCATATTTTTTTGTCTATTTTTTGCTTAAAAAAATTAAAACCATATTGAAATACTTATCAAACTATTTTTAAAAGTATATTGACTTGTTATCATTTTTAAAAGTTGATAAATGCATCTTCTTAATTACAGGGAATCATATCAATTTCTGCAGTGGAATTTCTGAAGCTTCTAAAGAAGTCAAAGGTTAGTTTTTCAATACTTTATGATTTCTTTCAAAAAAGTACTAAATGTTTGATCACAATTCCATTGCTTGCGCCCCAACACCTTTAAAACTTAAAGAGTTCAAAGAATTTCTGTAGTAATTTCATTTTATTTGCAGAACAATAAATAACTTAACATTAATTAGCTGCAAGTGCTATGTGAAGCCTTTTCAAATGAAATCTTTATGCATGTGTAATAGCGAAATTTTTGCCACTTTTTCGCATGTCAGTTTCAGATATAAGTATTTATTTTTTAATGAAAAACAAAGAAAAGTTAAGTTTATCATGTTTATCACTAAAATCCCATACAGACACTATTACATTTTGTCAAATTTATCTGTTCTTTATTCTAAGTGCTAGTAAATGCTTTACTACTTATGATAAGTAGATCGTTCATGATTTAAGCATTAACAAACAGTAATGATATTTCTTAGCCATTTCCTGTTGGACTTGTGAAGAACTGGAAGATTTTATCATGTCAGAGTGGAAGCAGGATATGGACAAGGAAACTAACGACCAGTGGGGGAGCTGATGTCAGTGTCATTGCCAGCTTTATCAAACTTCCTTCATCTGCTCAGGTAAAGCAGAATTTTCCGGGCTATGATAAGACATGGCTAACACAAATCAGTGTTCAATATGTCTTTTTTTTTATCATGACAACAAACATTAAATGAATGTTTTGCTTTATTGTCTTTGCAACACTATGTCAGTTATTTTCTGAAATATTTTGTTAATTTCCTGATAATGTATTCCAAGCATTATTTATAAAAGTACACCACAAGCCAAGCATTATTTATAAAAGTTTACCACAAGCAACAAGGATCTTTTCCTCGATCAGTTCAAATGCAAATCTACATTACAGTAAAACTTGGTTATTACAAAGTCAATGGGACCTATGAAATTACTTAGCTATATCCATAATTCGTTATATCTGTATAAGGAATTCATTAAATTTATTTAGCTGGGGATCCAAGGTAACTTCGCTATATCTGTGAATTCGCAATATCCATGTTCATATTAAACAAGTTTTACTGTATATGTTCACATTAGGTTATCCATCATACGCTGAAGGATGTATCAAAGACTGCTGAGTGGAAGCCAGGGGTGGAGACAGCCAATTATAGAGCCTCCGAGAGGCCAACCCTCCATAGATCCTCCTCCTCATGGATGGAATCAAATGTGGGGGTGGATCAAGTGTTAGAAATAGGTGTGGATCCTGTCTTCCAAGGAAATGATAGTGTAGAGAGCTGTTCAAGAATGTTAACAAGGTATCAGAACTAATAGTTTGAAAATCAACAATATATTACATAATCACTAGTCCTGAGGTGTATGGAGTGTTTGAGAACTAAAAAAAATACCTGGCATATATATGACCACATTAATCTTATAAAATTTCAATTAAAAAGATATGTATGAAACACTTTGCCACAAACTATGACCCTTTTCTATTGAAATATATTGTTGAATACTGAAGATTCCTAATTATAGGTGAGGAACTAATTTCCTCCTAATTTTGCAAGAAGCACAGAAGCATCACTTGCAAAATAATATTACTCACTTTATTTTTTGTTTATGCTGCTGAAATCCATTTAAATTCTGTTGATAAACTGTCCATTCATGAATTATTACTCTTACCATTTGAAAATAAAGAGCCAGTTCGCAATAATAAATACGCACAAAAAATAAGGAATCTGCACTATTCTGCAGTATTACATACATTCACAATTGTGATGTGAGGAGGTCAGACAGTGTGATAAATCGAAGTGTAAGTATCTATCTTACCTTTATCTTACCTTTATCAAATCCAATGTATGTGCTCTTTTATTTATTTGTTGTTATAATCTAGGCATTGGCATCGTGAGGATAATGGTTGCTGCTGGCTTTTGGAATCAGATACTGACAAACATGAGCACATGTTTTACCTTTTACAACCATTAGAAGGTAAGTAGTACTAAGGACAGAAGATGATGACTAAAATACCAGGCTTTCCATATGCATGTACCATACAAAAGAAATGGATGAACTTACATATTTATAATGTACTATATGAGTGGAATTTTTAGTTACAGGTAGATACAAATTTACTGATTGTCCTAAAAAATCAGTATTAAATAGAAACAAGAAGTAATTTTAGTGATTTGATTTTGCATAGGAATATAACAGTAATCTCTAATGTGGATTAAATTGTTAGTGATATTTTAGTTTAAAGATTTCAACAGCCTTGCTAAATATAGCCAAATTGAATCCTTGTTTAAATTTCTGCTTATGTTAAGTATTTACTGATATACCATAAGTAGAAAAATAATCAATACTTTGCATGGAATGACTCAAGACTTATCTCTAGTTTCCTTGTAAATGACTGAATGGAATAAGACTTATCTCTGCTTCCTTGTAGATGTTGAAACATCGTTACTAACTATACTTAGTTACTCAACCAGTCCTGCAATGTTTACAACAGTGGAAAAGACAGTATCAGATCATCTTAGTTCACTAAAAGACTACATTTTCCACAGAAAATTGAAAGCTACTCCTTTTATTGATCTTAAATTACCCAGCAAGCACCACACATTTCGTGGATTTGATGCCTTGTCTTCCAGTGATGATGAAGATGACAGTAACATTTTCCAACAAAAGTTTCACCAACTCCATCCGGAAGAAAAACATGCCATCATACAGAAGTCGGAATCCATTTTGAAACTCTCCCCAGTGAAGTCTTCTGCCAGACAGCGAACATTATCTGACAATATGAGTATCAAAGAATTATCAGGCAGTGATAGATCAAGACCCCGGTCCCAAACTCACCCCCACACATGCACATTAATTAAAGAACCACAATTCCAGGACAATAATAATATTGATAAATCAGCTTCCAGTGAATTGGTGCTAAAAGACAATGGTGCTATTGTAACAGAGTCAAAGTTTAAGAGTGACACAGCATTAGAGCTGACTCAGAATCACAGCCCCCCAGTGACCAGGGAGGGGGAGAGAAGCCGGATAGTAACCAGGGAGGTTGTGGATGAGTCGGTCAGTGACGTGTCGGACCTCAGTGAATCTTCTAGTCCAGAGAGGGAGGAGCAGCATGGTACAGGTGAGCACCACAACAAAAGAGATGTTTTATTTAATACGAGAACTATATTTTAAGCATACAAAAAATGAAAATCTACCCATCGATAGAAAGTATTATAGCTACATGTACTTGTAGGATGAAAATGCAAAATTTATGTCTCAAATGAACACAAACCAGTTGAGTCGGACTCGCAAAACTAATGTGAAATTAAAAGTGATTTTTAGCTCTACTGGTCAGAGACCAGAAGAGCTTATGCGATAGTAAGGTGTCCGTCGTCCGTCCGTCTGTCTGTCTGTCCGTCTGTAAACAATTTTTCAAAACGCTACTCCTCCTACAGTTTTGGTCTGATTTCAATATAACTTGGCACACAAGTAGACTACACTAAGATACATAAAATAGTGCATCGGTTTTTGATTTCGATGAACGGTGTTGCTATGGTTACTAAAAATAGAATTTTCTTTGAAATTCCTTTAAAACGCTACTCCTCCTACAGTTTTGGTCTAATTTCAATATTACTTGGCACACAAGTAGACTACACTAAGATACATAAAATAGTGCATCGGTTTTTGATTTCGATGAAGGGTGTTGCCATGGTTACTAAAAATAGAATTTTCTTTGAAATTTCTTTAAAACGCTACTCCTCCTACAGTTTTGATTTGATTTCCATATTATTTGGCACACAAGTAGACTACACTAAGATACATAAAATAGTGCATCGGTTTTTGATTTCGATGAACGGTGTTGCCATGGTTACTAAAAATAGAATTTTCTTTGAAATTCCTTTAAAATGCTACTCCTCCAACAGTTTTGATTTGATTTCAATATTACTTGGCACACAAGTAGACTACACTAAGATACATAAAATAATGCATTGGTTTTTGATTTCGATGAACGGTGTTGCCATGGTTACTAAAAGTAGAATTTTCTTTGAAATTCCTTTAAAATGCTACTCCTCCTGCAGTTTTGATTTGATTTCAATATTACCTGACACAAGTAGACTATACTAAGATACATTAAATGGTGCATCGGTTTTTGATTTCGTTGAACGGTGTTGCCATGGTTACTAAAAATAGAATTTTCTTTGAAATTCCTTTAAAATGCTCCTCCTTTTACAGTTTTGGTCTGATTTCAATATTACGTAACACACAAGTAGACTACACTAAGATACATAAAATAGTGCATTTGTTTTTTATTTTGATGAACGGTGTTGCCATGGTTGCTGAAAATAGAATTTTCTTTGAAATTTCTTTAAAACGCTACTCCTCCTACAGTTTTGATTTGATTTCAATATTACTTGGCACACAAGTAGACTATACTAAGATATATAAAATAGTGCATTGGATTTTACTTTCGATGAACGATGTTGCCATGGTTACTCAAAATTGAATTTTCTTTGAAATTCCTTTAAAACGCTAGTCATCCTACAGTTTTGGTCTGATGGCAATGGCTTCTTTTCTCATCCTTTGTTATAAGTACAAACCAGTAGAGCTACAGTCTCGACAGAGACTTCTGGTTAGTTTGAGAATTGATATTGAGCCTACTAAATATTGTGAAATGCTAATATGTGCCTTAATGTATAGTTAAAACAATATCAAGTAAATTTGTTTTCATTTGATTATAATATTAAACTTATGTATACAAAATTTCAGATGATGAAAAGCATGCTAAAGAAGTGGCAAGAAACACAACATTGGCCAACCAGGTGGCAGCAGAGTTACTGGCCTTGGTGAGTCTCATGAATTCTGATTATATCTTCTTCACATGACAGTAGGGTAGACACCATTTGGAAATAAAGTAAAATTTCATTCAATCAAGCCTCTGTTAAAATCATCTTTTTTCATCATTCCAATTTTTAATCTAATCTGAATCAATCATTCTTGGCACTATGAGCTGATGCTGTGCCAGTTACAGCATTAATATACATGTATTGAATTAGCAAAATGAGAAGGCAACCTACTTTTGATAGACCACTGCGATTATCCAACCATAGTGGATTAAGTACTGATGAAGTACATTTAATTGATTAATTTTGTAGGTTCATAGGGTTTCCAATTTAGATCTGAAGGCCTCACCCCAGCAACAACAGGACTCCACTGGAGGATGGATGTAAGTCTGCACGCTAGAATGTTACTGACAACTTGTCAGCTATTCTGTGTTTGGTTTCTTCTGGTGTCATTGCTGATTTAAAAATATCTGTTTGTAGGTTTTGTGGCTTTGAGAGTGATGTGGTGATCATCAAGCGCCAGTTTCACAACATCAATTTATCAGGAAGGTTTGTAAAAATTCCTGCGCATTTAATGATTAATAGAGAGGATTAATTACTTTTTAACAGTTTATAATAAATCACATTTGATATATTTTCATAATTTAATTCTTGGTATATGTTGATTTTTTTTCTTTTACTCATAACAAAATTATCTGAATATTTTCAGCTCTGACTTTACATTTCTACATAGTTTTGCATCAATTCTGCATAAGGACAAAAAAGAATGCTAGACAAAAGTTAGAATTACTGTAGACGTACTTTTTTCCACGGGGTCATAATTCCGCGGAATCTCAATTTCTGTTTAATCAATGGGTAGAAAATTTCTTAGACTGTCACTATATGCCTTACATTTATATTAAGTATGCTTGGACAAAATTCCGCGGAAAATTTGTGGCCGCGTACATAGCGTAAATTTATACCACACGGAAAAAGTACTTCTACAGTATCATTACAATTTTAGCTACATTGGTAAGGGCATTATCCAAGCTCCCCCTCAAGCTGTGATGGATGCTGTAAAGAATCCCAGGACTAGATATACATATGATGACAGCTTAAAGGTATTAACACACATAATTAACTGTATGTTATGAATATTAAGTAATGTAAACTCAAATACAGTAAGCAAAAGTTGCTAGATAGTGATAATGAGATTTTCAAGCTACCTGGGTAGTTTGCAATTTCAAAATAAATCGAATATGGAGGCATAGAAATTGAATTGTTTGAAAACAAATTAGTATCAAAATTACAGTTTCAAATTTTCCCAGCCATTTTTACTCGTAATTGATATGTAGTAATGTACAGCTTGAACAAGCCAGTATGATATAATGATCAATACAATATTTTGAAGATTATTGTTAATTTTTGCCACTGTTTTTAAGTGTCCAGGGAGTAGTCTTATTTAAGAGGTCATAACTTCTTAACCAAGGTACATCTTACAGAGAGGACAAGCACTGAAAAATCATGAATAAAAATTTATCTCTCTGTAAGTGGTGGCCTAAATGTTAATGTAATGTTAAATTTAGTACCTGTACACTGAGCTTTCGTCTACATGTATTTAATTTCAAAGGATTGAAAGAAAATTTATTAAGTAAAAAAAACCTTGATTAATCCTTAATTGAAGGTCAAGTTATGTATTTTGAGATACATGTATAATGCAAAAAAGAAAAAAAAACTATTTGGGCTGTAGGACTGACTTGATAGAGATTGTATACTGTTAGACTAGTTATTGAATATGAATTCTGACAATGAGTTGACAAAACAACTAATTACCTTACTATTTGTAGAGAGTAGATATCCTGCAGCATGTCACTGAGAAGATTAAAGTCGGTAAGTTAAAAACATGTTTCTTCTACCAACACAGAAAATATCAAGAAAAGAACAAATTATTAAATTCTAAAAAGGTACGGTTTTCTGTCAGTTGGTCTTTCTGTTTCAGTGTACTACAGTAATGAGATACTACACAAGTTTAAGAAGTATCAGTATGACTGGTGTGTGATTCAGAGTGAGCGACAAGATGGCGAAAAACTTGTCTTATCCATGGAGTCCGTAGATAATGACCTTCCAATCCCAGCTGGGGTCAACAGGATCAAGGTCAGTCTCCATCAGGGTCAAACTCACAGGGGTCGAAAGGAAAACTTGTCAGTATTTTGTTCACTCGTTGTTAATGCCTTTCTGCGGTAATGTATGTCAGTAATGTACTTTACGTCATCTGTTGTAGATTCTGCCGAGTGGTTGGATCATAGAGCCAGTTATAAGGGACAACAAAACAGTTTCCTTGGTGACATATGTCATGCAGGTAAACTGAATAAAAGAGATTTTAAAAAAAACTATACAAATGTTAAAAAAGTTAGGTCATATCAGTTGGCTAAGTAAGATATCATGCCATATTTCAGAGCAAAAAAAAGTTGAAATTCATAGTTTTGAATGATTTGATTTACATATACCAGGTAATATATACACTGTTTGTATATTAATTATATTCCTGTTTTGTGCTTTAGATGAATTATGGGATGTGTTCGGATGGAGCAGCTGATAAAGTACTGATAGATGAGATGGTATCAAAGCAGCCCCTCAGTATAGCCTACCTCCGTCAGTACTTACGCCCTCCCCTCGCCCTCACTCGTAAAACTTCACACTCCAAGAAAACCTTATAACAGGGGTCCTCTAGTCTTAAGCACTAAACTGTTCATTGATGTGTTCAAACTAGTTTTTTTGCTGTTGACTGTGCCAAAACATTTTTTTAAATCTTGAACTTGTAAAGAAATTGACTTGATTTGAAGATTACCAGGTTATCCTCTTTTCAATATTAAACTTAAATATACTAAATAGAAGGAACAAAGTATTGGATATTTTTTACATGAACAATAAATATGTACATTCTACTTTGATGTTGTGTAGCATGAACAATGAAATCTAAGTACCAAATATTGTAACTCAGAGATAATTTTGACATACAAATGTACTTTTATTCCTTGTCATTGTGCCAGTAGTTTTCAAGTCTTGTTTTTGGTTCTAGCCTGTTTACAGCACATGAACTTTATATTAAAATAGGTGTTCACATTTTTTAGTGCAATTATAGTCACAGTGGTCAAAAGCACAGTCTGCACATGTTCATATTTAGTGGATTTTTCCCTCAGTAAACACATGTATAAGAGGCTTTAACATAAAGGTATGGTGCATGTTCATACTAAAAAAGCATTTAGTTTTTATGTAATGCTGAAGATAGGGGTATGTTTGTGAGATATTATATTTTGAAATTGAGCAGAGTCAACCCATTTGTTCAGTTTTAACCTTGTATCCAATATAAATTCCCTGATATATTCTATGACATTAAGTTTTGTGTATCTATGGTTGTAATGCTTATTTATACCCCCATTCTGAAGGAGAGGGGGGTGTACCATTTTACCCTTGTGTGTCTGCCAGTGAGTCTGTCCGTAACAAGTTTTGACTTTGTTTTCTCAGCAAGTACTCAGCACAGATGAAGGAAATTTTAGCACACTCTTTGTTTAGACATGCCATATGGTGGGATTCATTTTTGTTTGAATCTGATGCCAACTTCCTGTTTATCTGTGCATTCATATTGGAGTAGGGCATTTGCTCACATACCTCTTGTTCTTGATCGTTTCTTTTTTAATTTTTTTTGTCTTGTTTTTTTTTTTAGCTCACCTCAACGAAGTTGGGGGGAGCTTATGTGATACCGTCGGCGTCGGCGTCCCGGGTTAAGGTTAAGTTTTTTGGAGCAGTTTTCTTTTTAAGTACTTCTATGTTCTATATTGATTAGACATGCATGGAAGATGTTTCTAATGTGTTTCATTGTACCAGTCAAAGTTTCAGATGCTGCAATTTCAGCAAAGGAATGACCAGGTTAATGTTTTTGGTGCAGGTTAACATTTTTGGTGCAGTTTTTGGTGTAGGTCTCATTTCCGAGTAACTATAAGCCCTATAATGACCAAACTTACATGGATGGTACATCTTAGGATGCGTACTACCAGATGCTTCGGATGCTGAATCTGACCTACATTTTCCGGTTGAGTGAACAGGTTAAAGTTTTTGGTGCAGGTTTCATTTCGAAGATACTATGAGCCCTATAATGACCAAACTTGCATGGATGGTACATCTTAGGATGCATTCTACTAGACTTGCTTCGGATGCTGAATCTGGCCTACATTTTCCGGTTGAGTGAACAGGTTAAAGTTTTTGATGCAGGTTTCATTTCCAAGTTTCTATGAGACATATAATGACCAAACTTGCATGGATGGTACATTTTAGGATGCATACTACCAGTCTTGCTTCGGATGCTTAATCTGATCTACATTTTCCGGTTGAGTGAACAGGTTAAAGTTTTTGGTGCAGGTTTCATTTCCAAGTTACTATGAGACATATAATGACCAAACTTGCATGGATGGTACATTTTAGGATGCATACTACCAGTCTTGCTTCGGATGCTTAATCTGATCTACATTTTCCGGTTGAGTGAACAGGTTAAAATTTTTGGTGCAGGTTTCATTTCCAAGTTACTATGAGACATATAATGACCAAACTTGCATGGATGGTACATCTTGGGATGCATATTACAAGCTTGCTTCAGATGCTGAACCTGACCTACATTTTCCAGTTGAGTGAACAGGTTAAAATTTTTGGTGCAGGTTTCATTTCCAAGGTACTATGAACCCTATAATGACTAAACTTGCCTGGATGGTACATCTTAGGATGCATACTACCAGACTTGCTTCGGATGCTGAATCTGACCTACATTTTCTGGATGAGTAAACAGGTTAAAGTTTATGGTGCAGGATTCATTTCTAAGTAACTTTGAGCCCTATAATGACCAAACTTGCATGGATGGTACATCTAAGGGTGCATTCTACTAGGCTGGCTTCAGAAGCTGAATCTGACCTACATTTTCTGGATTAGTGAAAAGGTTAGTTTTTTATACAGGTTTCATTTCCAGGTAACTTTGAGCTCTATGTTGAACAAACTTGCATGGATGATACATCTTAGGATGCACGTTAATGGACTTGCTTCAGATGCTGAATTCGACATACATTTTCCAGATAATAGACCTCGTAAAAGTTATGGGTGCAGGTCTATCACCAAGAAACTATAAGGCTTATGTAAACCAAAGTTGCACAAATGATGCATCAAGGGATGAAAACTCTCAATCTTGCTTCAGGTGCTGGATTTTAATTACATTTTCATGATGAAGAACTAGTTTTAAGTTTTTATATAGGTCTGTTCCAAAGTATCAAAATTGCATAAATTTTGCATTTTTGGATGTACACTTTTTGTTGGTTAATTGTGTGACTTACTTTGCCTTACGTAAAGACAACATTCGTTGAGGTGAGCTCTGTAATCTCTGATTACCTATGTTTTATATAAGGAGACAATTTACTTTTTATCTTGGTTAGAGAAATACCATTTACCTATATATATTTTATGACCTTATAAAATTATTTTGAAATCCATATTATTTCTTACACTATATTACTACTGGTAGTTTTAGCACACACACACACACACACACACACACACCCTCACTCACACACACACAAATGGTTAGATGTACATGTAGTTAGTGATGAATACTGTTTTCAAGCTTTATTTTATTTCTTTTATACATTTACCAAGTAAGTACATACATTTACAGTAGAACTACAAAGTGCATTGTACATGTTCAAATAACTTATTAGCATACAGTTATTAACATGAAAAATGCACAACGTACATATAATTCATATGTATCAGGTGTAAATTTATGCTTAATATAATTATATGAAGTGGGATATAATGCTTATTGTACAAATTGTATGCACCATGGCTAGAGTGTAGATAGTACTGTACATATTACTTGTAATCATACAGTAAAGATTGGTAAAACTGTACGAGCACTGTACATTTTACTAGGAATTATACTAGTCTTTTATAAGTAAATATGCGTATATGTTGATATGGGTCAATTTCTGTATTATGCCACTTTAATAACTACTTAGTATGTTTCCATTATTCATTTTAGATGCCTTTCTTGATGTATATTATATTCACATAACTATATTTTCAATTGCATTGTTGGAAATAATTTCAGAAACAAATTCGATAAAAAGCTTAATTTTCCTTTCTTGCAATTTTTCCATGTAAAATCTTGCCAATATGATATTATCATTAAGCCATCTGTAAAACATTATTTGTTTGCTCCCTCCCCTGACTAAATATGGCCCAACTCAAGACTTTTTTGTAAGTTGTAGGACAGTGTATTGTTTCCCCTATTTTGTCTTATCCTGGAAAAAAATTGCCCATCTATTAAAGTAGCTGAATCAATGTTTTACTCAAAGTCAGGAGAGGGCAAGCAAACATAATTTTAAAGATGTCTAAGTTTCAACTACTCAGTAGTGTACATTTTATCATTTTTTTAAAAATGTTATTTTTGTAATTTTTCTTTGCTAACATGTTAGTATTTAAACAAATGCATGCCAATAAATGGCTTTTTTCAAAACTAAGAGCAAAATAATACTCAATACTGCGTACTTACCCTAGATGCCAGTACAGTAATGATTTTGTAACCTTGCTTTTTTTCTTTTCTTTTTTTCTTTCATTTTTTTCACCACCCAGTATTATTTGCAATAGAGATTTACAATGAGTCATTTATTTTTGATGTTGTTTCCTAAGTTACAGTATATCTTTTTAGCACAGTCACTGTAGGGGTATAGAAAATAGTCAATGTATAATTTTTTTTTTTCATTATAGTTCTTCACATGACATGTTTAAGGATGAATCTACAATGTTATGTAATTCTCATAATTATGTATTGTGTATTAGTGTGTAGATAAATAGGTAATTTTAGTTGTTCACTGAATATTTCACATTTCCATATTTCTCTATTTGTGGAAATAGAATGGACACAAAACCCATGGCTTGCGACGATGACTGAATATATACCAGTGTCTTATTATACATGTACTACAAAGACTTCCAAGTTCTTTTTGTTCAGTTTTCCATTGTGTAAATTTCCAAGCCATCTATATTATTTGAAATGAAGGTAAAATTTAATCTGTATCTTGAGTATTTGAAAATTTTCAAAACAAATGAAAAAATGATAGAAAGTGATTACTTGTATTACTTATATTACTTCTTATCAGGGTTTATACACACACACAAGTTAGATTGTGTTGTAAAAGATTTTAATTTTTTTCTCCAATTGACCTCCTCAAATTCAGAGGTAAAGGGTAAGATATGGTAACACCCAAATTTTTCCCCTTTTTGATGTAAAAATAAGAAAAACAGTTAAATTTGTGATAGTTTGCTGTGAAGAACTTTAAATGTAGAGTTTTATAAAAACCAGCACGAAGAACATAAGCCTACAAAGGGATCCCAAAGTAGAACTTTGTCAAATTTGAAATACTTTTCACCCCCAGAAAACACAGGGCACAACCTTTCATATCTGAAATTCTTATATACTAGATGCATCTAATACTGATGCAGAAAATTTATACATGTAAATGCCCTAAGTGAACCTTGTTCTTTAGTAGGCAAGCCTGTGCTCTGTGTTTTCTGAAGCAAGATATGTTATAAAATTGATGAAATATGCATGGAAATGAGAAAATTTGAGAATTAATCAATATATTTTGTTACCTTTTTGTACCCCATATGTTAGAAGCAATAATTATTTTGTAAGAGGGATTACAACAGATTTTAAGATTATGAAATATTGCATGGTTCTTAAAAACACCACAAACCAAAAGCCAAAAGGGGGGTCTTACCCTATCTTGTCCTTTATTCATGAGGGAAAATCCGGTGAGTCTTGAATACTGTACCTATCCTAGGTGGATATGCACATGTAGATCAGGTAAATAATGCATGATCTCGGCTGAGTCAACCAACTATAACAATATCTTAGAATCAGGAGGAATGTTAAGTAATAAAAAATGTTTAGAGAAGCAAAACTCAACAGGTACTTCTTTTCAAATGTGCACAAAGTCAAAGTGTTGTAGAATATACATGTAGTAAATACTATTGTAAGATTTGTCTAAAGTTTTATTTTGTTTAAATATAGTATCCTTTTAACCACAGATACAGTATATATAGTGTATTTGTAATGAATTATAGGCATGTTTGCTCACAATTTTAGATTCAGTTTCACTAATACAGTTGGTTTAATTTTTTTTTTTTTTTTTTTTGTTATTTGATGGTTAAGTACTTTGATGAATATTGTTGATATTATTATAGTTGAGGATTCCTAACTGCCATTTATTAAAGAATTATCTTCTGTAATTCAGTCAGGCCATTCTTGCTGTTCTTGTTTTGTTTGGGTCATTCCACGTTTCTTTTCTTTGTATAGTATCCATCCATCTTTTTAAAAAGAAAACATACAGTATACCGGTACCTATCTATTTTTTTTTTTAAAAAGTTAAAAAACAGACTGTAAGAAATTGATGAAATCATAATGAAACCATTGAGATCCATTCTTTAGCAAAATCTAGGTATAAAGCACAAAAACCACACCTACTATGATGTATATCTGTAGAAATTGACAAAATTCAAAGATTTTGACCAAGTGTGTAATTTCAGGACACCTAATTTTGTTTGGGTTTTTTTTACTGAATGAGATATGTCAAAAACCAAGATGGATGCTAAACATATTTTTAAAAAATTGGAATGGCCTTGGGTATTTGCACCCATCATGTTGCTGAGTACAGTGATATTGCTGCATGTATCATGGGTATATTGGTTGCTCAAGATATCAATAAAATAATATAGATGATCAATTTGTTCTCTTTTTAGTCCCCTTCCGGTGAAATCAGAGGGGGCTATAGGTTTCCTTTGCGTCTGTCTGTCTATCTGTCTGTCCATCCATCCGTCCGTTCGTCTAGCTGTCCCTGTCTGTCTGTCAGTCTGTCCTACTTGGTTTTCCGCACTTTTTTTTCTAAACGCTTGCAGATATTGAGCTTAGCCGAGTTTTGGTATGTGAGTGCATCTTTAGGAGTTACAGATAAAGTTTGAATTTCATTTTGCTTCATTGATTTTTGACAGAATTATGGCATTTTGAATTTTTCATAATTGTTTAATAGCATCGGTTTGTGCTGCACTAAATGGTAAATATGAAGTGAGAAAAAGATGTTGAATGTCAGAGTTGTGGATTATTTTATTAGGTTAAAGGCATTCACAACCTAAAAATCAAGCAGTTGATGTTGAATGTCAGAGTTGAATGGTCTTTATGTGGATTATTTTATTAGGTTAAAGGCATTCACAACCTAAAAATCAAGCAGTTTTTCCTTGGACATAACTTTTGCACATTATAAAATGACATCCTGAAGAAAAAGGGGTACCCGGTAGGGGACTTGTATTGCTTATGCAATACTCTCATATTGCTTGTTTAAAGAACATTATATTTACTTGTTTAGTTATCATGATGCAGAATTTGCATTTACATGTACATGTACCTCCACCTAGTAAGTTCAAAATTGATATCATGATAAATTAAATGGCAGGCATTATGTAGTTTTTTGTTCAGGTCATGGTTTGAACTTTATCCCTCATAGAAATGTGACAAGTTTAGCTCACCTGAATCTAAGTGAGGGTTTCTGATTTTCTGTATTCTCAATCTGTTGTCATCATTGTTAGCAATTTTGTTGTCGTAAACTTTTCAATTTCATCTTCTTCTCCAGAACAAGTAGGCTAATTTCAACCAAACTTGGTACAGAGTATCCTCAGTCAAAGTATATTCCAGTTTATTCAAATGAAAAATGATTATTCAAATGTTTTGCCCACAATCAATATGTAATAAAGATTCTCATTAAATTTCCTTCAGGGTATGAGAGGAGTTATTTACAAAATAGCAAAAAATTAAAATGCCCTCCACTAAGGGGAGATTATTTACAAAATAGCAAAAAATTAATGGCATAATTGAAACATCCTCTTTTCAAGAACCTATGGGTAGAAAGATGAAACTCATGTGGCATCATGGTAAGATAGTGTAGATTCAAGTTTGTTCAAACTATGACCCCCCCCCCGGGGGGGGGGGGGGGGGTAGGATGGGGCCAATGGAGGGTCAAAGTTTAACATAGAATTGTATAGGCAAAATCTTCAAAAAAAATTTTCTCAAGGGTAGCAAAGCTATGATTGATCATAGTTATATGGAAGCAACCTCAGTTAGTGAAGATTCAAGTTTGTTCAAATCATGACTCCAAGGGTTAGGGTGTGGCTAAAATAAAAGTTAAAATTTGAAGGGGAAAAGTCGCAGTTAGTCAAAAAAATATGCAAGCATCCTTAGCTAGTGTGGATTCAATTTTGTTCAAACCATACCTTCCTCCCTCTTAAGGGTAGGTCAGGACCACTTATGCAAGTAAACTTTTCAATACTAAACTGATTGTTGCTTTTTTCCTTAGCCACAGTGCTCAGATGAGTGATCTAGCCCCTGGACCTCTTGTAAAAACGAAGCTTTAAAGGCCATTCAATTAATACAAACCAGAAGAACAAACACAAACCTCTAAAACATCAGAGGCAGGATCAAATGCCATGGGGGAGTGAGCATCCCCAGCAGACATGCCACACCCACTCTTTGTCCTCAGCTCCTATAATCGAGAAGTAATGGCCATTGGGGGAAATCCGTAGACAATTCAGTGTGTAAAAAGGCAAAAAAAAATAATATGAAAAACTTCAGTCAGCATTTGCCTTAATGGTAGATTGTATTTGCTGACAAGGTCATTCTGTTTACAACAAAACGTAAGAAATGATATAACTTTTTACGAATTGTTGACGTTCTTGTTTCATCAACAGTTTTGTTGATAATCTACCTTGTTTTTGAATTTGCTCGTACGCAGAGCATATGCTTGTGTATTAAATCATTTGAGAGATATTTACCCCTTAAAAAAGTAATCTTTATTTACCAATTTATTTATCAGTGTTAAAAAGAACCAGGCTTTGTATAGTATCGTAAAGAAGGTGGGTCCAAAAAAGTCTGTTTTTGTTGTTTTTAATTTGCATGCTACATGTATAAGGCATTAATGAAAATTCTTAAGGAGGGGCACACCCCCCCCCACTCTCTCTCTAAAGATGTGTGCATTGTGGCAACGCACCTTTTAAAATACACACTTTTTTAAAGCGCGTTAAAATTTAGACAAAATCAACGCACTGGTACAAAATCAACACACTTTTAACGCACTTTGAAAAAAAATTCAAAGTGAGTTAAGAGTGTACATCGACATTTTTAACCATGGACACTTCACGCACATTGAAAATATATATATATAACAATAATCTGTGACAGAGATTTTAGAAATGGACTGCATTATTTTATTATATTTCTTTCGAAAAACTAAAGAATTATCTACTCTCACCGAGAACTACAACTTTATGGAAACTTCTTTTTGATGGGCTTAGAAACTTGGACCTCATTTTTGCCGCATTTCTCGGACAGCCAATAAGGTCAAATTTGAAGAAAACAAAAAAAAGAAAACTCTCAATACAGTCAAAAGTATAAGGCAGTCCTTAATTAGTGCAGTGAATTTTAAATCTTGAAAAAATTGAAAGTCCGTGGATAATTATTGCCATCATACCGATATTAGGCGTCGTAACTTGGAAGGGGTGGGTATCCCCCTCAATCCCAATTTTTTTTTTTTGCAACGATAATAATATACATGTAGGCATTTGCTGATATACTGACCTATCCGTGTACGTTTTCTTCAGATTAATATCAACACGTACACTTCGAAAAGAACTATTCTTTTTTTTTGTTAAGAGCGTTAACTTTGTCCCAAATTTAACGCACTTTGGAAAAAATTTCAAAGTGCGTTGTAACAAAGCCTTTCAAGAGAATTGCCGAGTCTAGTGTAGGAATGACGCTTCATTACACATATCATTTAATTACCTATTAGTATAAAAGCCAATGGTGTAGAAAGACGCAATGCAGTGTCCGTTTTATGGTCTTTTTCATTTCTACTTTATATGCATGATATGAGCATCTTATTGCCATACATAGTTTTTATATCTATAACACAGAAAGGCCCTTGAAGGAATATTCCAAGAACTTCATACAATGATTGATGTAAAAGTTTACATGTGATATACAATAGATAAATTTTCATTGCCATTGTCTGAGTTATAAACTGATTTCTTGCCTCTACTGGATATTTCCTTTAGTTGTTGAGTTATTTCCCCTAAAAGGTCCCCAGGATTATCATCGAATGCATGTCTATGACAATAATGAATGTGCGGGCATTGATGACAACAAACCATTCTATCTTTGATTTTTCTTACTTTCTTTCATAAACATTTGAGGTCGATGCTCTTGGTTCCTTCCAAAGGATGCTACCTATCATGAAATCACTGGTTTTCTTTCTAATATTCATTGCTATTGGTAAGTTAAAAAATAATTCCAACAACTTTCTCCGTAATGTATTGCTTCATTTTAGCGATTTTAGTCGTGTTAGTTTAACTTAACCAATTTAAATAGATTGTACTTGGCGTTTTCTGAAATTATGTTGACAAGATGAAAGTATAAACCTATAACCCCAAAAATATATGTACCAAACTGGCAAAAAAGCCGAGTTTATAATGTACTTTATTGCGAAAGGATAACATGGGTTCTTCTGCCATGGTTTCATACACTAGATGTAGTATTTACCCTAACAAAAAAATACTATAGTTAACTATAGTTAACTATAGTTTACTATAGTTAACTATAGTAAATAAAAGTGTCAAAGTTTTCGCCAAAGTTTTTCAAAGTGTCAAAGTTTTCGATAAAGTTTTTCAAAGTATCAAAGTTTTCCATAAAGTTTTTCAAAGTGTCAAAGTTTTCGCCAAAGTTTTTCAAAGTGTCAAAGTTTTCGTCAAAGTTTGTCAATATTTTCGTCATTTTTCAAAGTGTCAAAGTTTTCAAAGTTTTTCAAAGTGACAAAGTTTTACATAAAAAAGTGTCAAACTTTTCGAGTTTTTCATAAGTGTACTTTTTTAAATTTTCAAAGTTGGCGATAAAGTTTCTTAAAGTGTCAAAGTTGGCGATAAAGTTTTTCGATTGTTAAAGTTCGATAAAGTTTTTTAAAGTGTGTTTTTGATAAAGTTTTTCAAGTGTTAAAGTATTTTTTCAAACACTGTTAAATTTTTCGATAAAGTTTTTCAAAGTATCCAAGTTTTCGATAAAGTTTTAAAAAGTATCAAAGATTTCGATAATGTTTTTCAAAGTTTCAAAGTTTTCGATAAAGTTTCTCAAAGAATCAAAGATTTCGATAAAGTTTTTTTTAAAGTGTCAAAGTTTTCAATAAACTTTTTCAAAGTTTTAAAGCAAGGTTTTCGATAAAGTTTTTCGACTTTATAAAGTGTATTTTTTCGAAGTATTAAAGTTTTCGATAAAGTTTTTCAAAGTATAAAGTTTTCGATTTTTTTGAAGTATCAAAGTTGTTTTTTAAAGTGTCAAAGTTTTCGCCAAAGTTTTTCATGTCACAACGTTTTTCAAAGTGTCAAAGTTTTCGTCAAAGTTTTTCAAAGTGTCAAAGTTTTCGCCAAAGTTTTTCAAAGTGTCAAAGTTTTCGCCAAAGTTTTTCAAAGTGTCAAAGTTTTCGTCAAAGTTTTTCAAAGTGTCAAAGTTATCACTATAGTAAATCAAAGTTTTCAAAGTGTCAAAGTTATCACTATAGTTAACTATAGTAAACTATCGTTAACTATAGTATTTTTTTGTTAGGGTAAGGGGGGGGGGTATCGGTGCATTTCATTAATAAATAACACTTTATAGTGTGTATTTAATATAATCTAATTTATTTGTAGCTCAGGTATGTGGACAAATTCCGGTAGATTCCCCTACGGACTTTCTAACAACAGGAAATCAGATTGACACGACTGTCACCCGGACAGTTGTAGATAGGCGGATACCCAGTACCCGAACAGCCGTCGATATGCGCGTGCCTCTCACCAGGACGACCGTCATTACCCAGCAGCTGCCTGTAGATGTCCCTATGTCCGCGGGGCAGGGACGCCCCCTCCAGCTTAGTCCTGATGGTCAATGTCCAACTTTTCTGTCCCGTTATGAGGGGGATATTCTTGTTATAAATCTTGTTCCGGGAACCTGTGATATGTAATTTATCTTCCAAAGATAGAATTTAAGTTTTAAAGAGTGTTTGAGTAGGTTTCTTGTAAAACGTGTGATGTAAATGTTTTCTTGAATAACATGAACTATTTCTTCAATCGTTAGTTTTTATCTGAATTTGGTTCGTCAATTTTCTTTAAAAATTAATTACATTCAATATTTTAGACATCTGTTATCAAGATTTGGTGGCATAAAGTTTTTATTATGTTTATCGACATGTCTCTTTATCAGCAAAATTTTTGATTGGTATGAGCCAGGGTTTTTATATTTCATATGTCATTGTGTGTTTCTTATGACAAGACATTTCCTTTGGTATCAACATATTTGACCTTTTCGTCTTGGACTTTGACCCACTTTTGCAAGATTTTATAAAACTCTTTTGTTTTTTTTTTCTCTGCACATGAATCTTAGTACAATTCTCAGCCATCCTTGGACTTTCAGTAAGGCGTGGGATTCTTGGCGCTTTGTAATTAGCGTCTCTGATATAGCGAATTGATTCTCATTTGTTAAAAAATTGATAACACCAGGAACTTTAAATTGTTGTTGACAACGATGAGGCAACTTAATTCCATCTCTTTGTCGTACGAGACACTTTTATTGGATACTTGTATTTGCTACACGTTGACATTCACCCGAATTTCTATCCAATGTATATTTCAAAAGTGAAAAAAAAATGTGTAAATTTCTGACGCTAATTATGTAACGTCGAGAATACAATGCCTTGCTGAAAGTCCATCCAAGGATAACAGAATTATGATATCTTTGATCTTTCTTTCTAGGTTAATTTTTGTTCAAGACCAGACACATTTGTTTCCAGCGGCAGCTGACATTCTCATGAATACGGGCGCGGGGTATGTATAGTAAAAAGGCTTAAAGTAATATTGGGCACACCTTCATATGTGGCCACTGATAAAATAAAATCTTTATTTGAAGACGAATTCGATTGCCAATGGTGACTTTCCGGGGAAACAGTTCTACCAACAGTATAGCGACAGGCTGTCCCATGATTCCACTGCGGTATCTAGGACCTAGAGTAGTTCTGGACACCATCCCAGGCCGCTGTCAAATGTAAGACTAACACTGCTATACAAGGTCATCTCTCATGTTTAATTATTTTATATAGCGTGTATGAGTTTAAAATTGTTTAAGAGTATAAGTGTTATTGCCAATGAACAGATTCATCATTATAACCTATTCTTTTATTTTTCAGAGTTCTTGGAATTCGAACATTTCCCATTTTAGGACAACTTAATACTCCAGGCCTTGATAATCAGCTACCGTTACCAGGGGAACCGAGGTTGTTTTTGAATTTTAATTTGTTTAGTATACAATATACATGTAATTTCTCTGCAATTTTGTTTACTATAAATATTCTTTCTCTTACGTTGTAGATGGGTGACGAGAGCAGTTTTCGAGAGAACAAGCGGGATTCTCTGATGATTTAATCTGAATCAATAAAATTCATCTCTATATCATAGATGTAAACATGACGTACTTATCTTGATACCCAATTTCTTTATGTTAAAATTGCAGAATGAAATATATTAAACTGAAAAGACAACAGGAGTCGTTGTTTTCTGTTTATTAATTAAGCATCCTCTTAATTAAGTTTTTTTTCCACCCTCACTATTTTAATGGTTCAAAGTACAAAACTGCATTTATTTTCATTTATTATAGTTTAAATTTACTAATTATCGCAAAAAAAAAATATATATATATAGGTAGCCATATTATCTAAGACGGGAGACATAAATAAACAGAAGTGTATGTCGACATAAAAAAATCGTATTTTGTTTTAGAATAGTACAGTAAATATTAAGTAAAAGCTGGTTCAAATGCATAATTCTGATACGACAGAGTTCCAAAGTACTTGCTACTTAAAAGATAATTTTGAATATCAGGGAAAAAATTTACATTAAAGGTACAGTAAAGAGAATGTCTAAATGAAGATATCTGAGAAGGAGTTATTGCCCTTGTCACAATTATTCAAAGATAGAATAATAAATTGATTCATTAAATAATGAAAATATACATTTGTTAAGTTATATTACTTAACAATATTTATCATTACACGTGTTGTAAAGTATTCTTACAAAAAAAATTGTTCTATTGGGTATGAATTTAAATTAATATTAGTTTTTGCAAAAACCGATGACATCATAGGAGGATGGAAATACCTTAAGGGAGCCCTTTGTTGCAGTGAAATATTATTATGAAGTCTTGATTATTATGTGTAATTTTTATCAACCTGTAATAAAAAATTCGGGCATTGTTCTGTCGATCTGATTTTCTGTTTATCTATTTGCCTGCAAAAGAATCTCAAATCTCAAGTACTGATTATTTTGAGAAGGAGGGGAGGCTTAATTGTCCTTAGACAGTTTATTCTAACTCGTGATGGCTTCAGGATGTGTCAGTCAATATATCGAAACGTATCGATATTCAAGAATTATCGTATCGAAAAAATAACTTCACATATGTACATATATGTATTTCTTGAGAGAAGACCTTTCAGTGGATACCAACAAATTAGACCCTTTGACATTGGAGTTTGCCATACTTTTTTAAATATTAAACCCTGGCCATAACTTTTGAACAGTTAGGGCTGGGCTTTTATACTTCACATATGTAATCCTTGTGACAAGATCTTTCTTTAGGAACCAACAACGTTGACCCTTTGACTTTAACCTGGGAGTTTGACGTACATTTCAAGTGATTTTCCTTAAAAAAATAATAAATTTGTAGAATTTCTCGAATTTATCAATTGAAAATGTTTACGTCTATGATATAGAGATGGATTTTATTGATTCAGATAAATCAACAGAGAATCCCGCTTGTTCTCTCGAAAATTGCTCATGTTACCCATCCGTACAATCCGGAATTTACCGATCTCATGTTGAATTTTATACAATTTTTTTTTGGTAAACATGGGACAGAATGAATGCTTGTAACGCGACACATGTTTTAGAATAGTCCAAAATGTCAAAGAAGAAAATAAGCTTAACAAAATTGAAGGCTGACTCAAACAAACACAGGGAAAAGAAGCAGATAACGATCTCCAAGTTTTTCTCTGCGCCTCAACACCCGACACAGAACGGGACTGAGCAAGAGGACACTGACAGACAGACTGACAGTCCTGTCGTTATCATTGATGATGACTTGCCAAAGGAACAAGACAAACAGGTGATCTGGTTTTTAATACTAGAAAATATAAAGTAAGGTATAAAATGAGTCACTCAGACAGGCTGTCAATATTCATGAAGTGATGTCCTAGCTTAAATTTTCCTCATTTTCCCGCCACACACAGCTTCCATTTACCCCACCCCTCCCCACTACCACCACCATGGAAAGTGTACGTTGCAGCATACATGAATACTGTTTCTGAAGTAGTTTGTCAGGGTTTGATTGATTGTTGTTTAATAACCCTTGTAAGAATTTTTCACTCTTAATATATATTTTTCGGAGACACCACCACACACAGCTTCCATTTACTTGCTACCACCACCACGGTGGAGAGCTGCAAATTTTGTTCTAGGCCTATGCATGGCACTCACGGTCATTGAACAGTGAGGGAGCTTTTTTATGCCAGCACCTACTGAGACACGAGTTTCTGTTTATAAGGTCTCATCCAATGGACAAGTCTCCACGTCCCACAGTCGGATTTGAACTTGTGACGTCAGGATCAACTTCATATGCCGTGTCTGTAGAGCAGATGCTCTAACCACTGCACCAAGTGGGCGACATTAGGGCTTGAATAATTGATATGAAATTTTCTACAGAAAAAAATTAAAAATTTATTATAGAAATTCTGTCAAAGTGAATATAGGCCTACATGTAATTTTTTCATCCCAACTTTCCTAGATAACATTTAACATCTAAAATTAAAGTATGGTAGAGAGCAGTGGACAGCATTACAAAAATGAACAAAGAATTTTAAAAAACATTTTGAAAAAAATAATAAAAACATAGAGACTTGAGCATGTCAAGTAGGAACTGTAAGAACCATTTTATTTTTATACAGGACACAAAAGGTGGAAGAAAAAGAGCAAATAAGAGCAAAGCAGAAACTTGTGAAAATAAAAGAAAACGCTATCATCCACCGCAGCCATCTACTTCACCAAAGTCAGATAGGGCATTACAAGATTTACCTAGCACTTCCTCTTATAGATGTGGAAAAGAATCAAGCCATGGAGTTTCTGATTCTACAAAATCAAAACTGAATAAATTCCACATAGATGAGGATTCCAAGTCTCCCGCTGTTAAAGATATAAGAACTTATGTTCCAAGGCAATCATTGTTAAATACAAGTATTGATGATGAACAAATCCATAATCAAAAAAGTGTTATCAGCTGTAGTGATAATAACAGTGAAGATGAGCAACTGCCATCCACGTCAAAGAGCTCCACAGGTTTACAGAAGTTTGCTGTTGCTTCAAGAGGAAACACCCAACTTAACAAAAGAACCAAGACTAAATACACACCGTTAGAACAGCAGTTCCTAGAACTGAAGGAAAAGTACCCCGACACTTTGCTGTTTGTGGAATGTGGATACAAGTACAGGTTCTTTGGAGAGGATGCAGAGGTATGTTTAAGAATATTGTTTTTATGAGAAAAGTGTCACCATAGTTTTTTTTTCTGTATTTAATGAATGCTGCATTTAAGAATGCACAAATTTTGTTGTTTTTTTCTTTGTATTTTTATTTACATTTTGATTATTTTCCTTTTGAATTATTGTACAGAATGCTGCCGATGTCCTGAAGATATACTGCCACTTAGACCACAACTTTATGACAGCCAGCATTCCCGTCCATCGGCTGTTTGTCCACGTACGGAGACTTGTAGCTGCTGGGTATAAGGTATGTGATTATAATATTATGTATTTTAAATTCGCTAGTGTTACTGGTGTATAAATCTTTTAAAGACTTATTTCATGAAATGCTAAAATAATTCCTATTTATGTGATAAGTCTGTGTGATTTACACACCAATAAAATTCCCAAACTAAAAAATATTCCTTCCATTTACAAAATGCTTGTTTAAAACTGACACATATATGCAATTAATATTTGAATTTACCACTGACCTTCTTATATCATTTTACATCATGTTAGGTCTATCTCTTGAAGAATTATGCCATCAAAGTTGGGGGCTATTCTCAGTTTCAGTAAATGTGAATAAATGTACACAAATACGGTATTAATTAAATTTCATATCGGTTTGGGAGAAAAATTCTTCAACTGTAAATATTTCTTATTATCACTTAAGTTCTAAAGATTTTGTAAATAAGAAATAAATAAATACAGATTAATTGACTAACCCTGTTTATTTATTAACCCTGATATTCTATAGGTGGGAGTTGTGAAACAGACAGAGACAGCAGCACTTAAGGCCTGTGGAGACAATAAGAGTGGTCCATTCACCAGACAGCTTACAGCCATGTACACCAAGTCCACACTGTTTGGTCAAGATATCCTTATTACTTAGCTAATCTATAAAGCTAAACTTCCAGGAGATTGACAATGTCTGTCTATCCTGTCATCTGTCAGCTGCAGTGCTTAGATTTAAATGCTAAAACTGAATGTTGTTAACAATTCCTATAGTAGGTGAACTTGATAAATATTCCACTTAATATGAAAAAAAAATTCTGTTATAAATAACCTATATTTATTATCAATCTTTTAATAAATAGCAGGGGAGATTCATTTTTTTATTGAATATTTCACATCTTATACTGATGACAAAAGGGTTCTATTTACCTGCAATTGAAGACAGAGATTTAGAAAAGTTGCATTTCCTTATCACATCGCACATGTAGACCCACTGAACACTTCTGAGGAACTGCAAGGGGAGATAAATGCAGAGAGAAGCTGTAGCGAGTATCTCATGTGTGTGTATGATGTTCCTCAAGATAAAGTCTCAAAGCATCAAACAATAGGTATCCTTGTAAGTCAAATCAATGACAAAGTCTCAAAGCATCAAACAATAGGTATCCTTGTAAGTCAAATCAACGACAAAGTCTCAAAGCATCACACAATAGGTATCCTTGTAAGTCAAATCAACGTCTCAAAACATCAAACAATAGATATCCTTGTAAGTCAAATCAAAGTCTCAGAGCATCAAACAATAGGTATCCTTGTAAGCCAAATCAACATCTCAAAGCATCAAACAATAGAATCTATCCTTGTAAGTCAAATCAACGTCTCAAAGCATCACACAATAGGTATCCTTGTAAGTCAAATCAACGTCTCAAGGCATCAAACAATAGGTATCCTTGTAAGTCAAATCAACGTCTCAAAGCATCAAACAATAGGTATCCTTGTAAGTCAAATCAACGTCTCAAGGCATCAAACAATAGGTATCTTTGTAAGTCAAATCAACAACAAAGTTTCAAAGCATCACACAATAGGTATAGGAAATGTGTAAGAAGGAAATAACTCTTAGGACATGTGAAAATCCTTGGGGTTTGAGAGTGAAGTTATATTAAGTTCTGGATGTGATATTTTGTAACTTTTAACGTGTATACCTTGATATATTTTTTATATTTGTTTAGCAGGTTTTTGTAAGAAGATAAAATATAAATTAGATACAATGTATGTAAAGAAAAATACAGTGTTCTTAAAATCCATTTCGTAAACATCAGTTGAGAAACATTGTGTTCCTATAAAATAAATTCAAGCACTCTATATAAGTACATATTTGACCACATTTTTCAGGCGGTGCAGCCCTCAACAGGCGACGTTATCTATGACAGCTTTGATGACTCAGATCTTAGAAGTCAGCTGGAGACGAGAATTCTTCACATTCAACCAGTGGAGTTATTAACCAGTAGAACGCTGTCTGATGCAACCCAAAAACTGTTATCTGATATTGCAGCTTTAAGGTAGAGAACTCAAGGAGACTTTTTGTGGGGTTTGTTGGGGGAGATTTATTCATGCATGTACTGGTACATTGAATAATTTTATTGGGGGGATTTCAAAGTTAGAAAATTAGATACTTCTAAATGGGGTGATCAATGACAAAAAATTCAATCTGCATTTGTTGCAATTGTGTCCTAATTATTCCTACATCAAGAAATGGTCTCTATATGCAGTATTCATGAAAGGATTTGTCATGGATTATCTATGCATTTATATATGAAACATTAACTTGTGATGTGCTTTAAATTACATTTCTATAGATAGCATAAAGTTTTCTAAATAAACCACTTTATGATCAAGACATATGTTTTTATACCTTTGCTATACATTCCACAAAAGGAATAAATTCTCAGAATAATAATGTAATACACTATGGAACACATTTTACTATAATTTATTTCACTGTTAGAAAATTGCTGGATATAAGATATCTTACTGTATCTGTAGGTCTACAGATGATGACAGTCTGAGACAGGAACTGTGTGATGATGAGGTGTTTGAATTTAGATCAGCCTTTACAGCAGTGTCTGAGTTCTACAAGGCACATGGGAAAGGTATCCATCGACCTGAATTACAAGTACAAACATGTTACATTGGCTGTTTGTCATATTTGTTTTGTAGAGTCCTCTTCAGAATACCTTTTGGTTTTTCAGCCTTTTGTATGTGTTTTTGTAGAGCCCTCTGTTGTGTACGTCGTATTTGTATTGTAGAGTCATCTTCAGAATACATTTTAGATATTCAGCCTATTGTATGTGTTTTTGTAGACCCCTCTGTTGTGCAGTCCGTGATCAATCTCCCCCCTCCCATCATCAGCTGTTTAGCTGCTGTGTTGAAATACTTGAAAGACTTTGGACTTCAAAAAGCCCTACAGGACTCAAGGTAAATGTAGATTTTTTTAGAAAAAAAAGTTTTAAAATTTTTTTGTGAGTAAGTAAATGACATAAATGAACCAGATCAACATTTTTGATAGATTTACATGTATGTTATTTTAAACTCTAAAATCTAGAGTCAAGTTTACGCATTATATATTTTTTATCTTTATCAAATATATGTCATGTTTCCTTGTGTACCAAAATAAATAAAAGAATTATTGAACTTTTCAGCAATTTCACACAGTTTTCAGAAAAGTTGAAGCATCTCCACTTGCCTGGAAACACTGTGAGAAATCTGGAACTGTTTTGTAACCAGAATGATGGCAAGGAGAGGAACTCTCTGTACTGGCTGATGAACCAGACCGTGACGAAGTTTGGAGGCCGGAAACTCAAGGCCTGGCTTACCCATCCTCTTATGGACATCAAGTAGGAATGTCCCATTAATTTCAAATTTATAAAGAAAGATATTAAATGCAGACACTTCACTATAGAATCTAATAAGTTGATAGAATAAGTTTTTTGAACTTTTTTTATTTTCAGAGAAATTTTACAGAGACAGGAAGCAATAAATGGAATTTTAGACAATATGAACTCCAGTGTTCTTGGTAAATTTCGGAGCATTCTTGGAAAATCACCTGACCTGGAAAGAGGGTTGTGCTCAATATTTTATGAAAAGGTACAATTTCTTTGTTTGCTAACTAAGGATACATGACGAAATTACCAAACACACGTGTACATTGATATCTATTATTTTGCAGAGCAGTGTCCAGGAATTCTACTCTGTGACCAGATCCCTGTCCGCAGTGGTGAGTGAAGTCGAGGGAGTTAAGAAATGGCTGACTGACAATTTAAACTGTTCCTTACTGCAGCAGATATTTAATGATATTCCTGATCTCCTCTCTGACATCACACAGTTTAAGGAATCACTTAATGAAACTGCTGTAAAGTAAGCTAAATTATTATCATTTCTCACATCTTTCTATTTATAGATTCAGAGTAAAATTTTAAGAAGTCTTATACAGATAAAAAAAATAATGTGTTTGGGATATCAAAGGATTCTTCGGTTTAATTTTTGGATTAGATTCAAGCATTGTTTTGTTTAGTTATGAATATGATGTTTGACAGAGTGCAAAAGATCAATATCTATTATTATTTCATCTACCAGTACCATAGATTGGTTAGAACAACATCTTCAGTTCAGAAGCATAAATATGTGAAATTTTAAATTCATTTAAAATTTCTTTTTTCATTAAAGGCTCCTATAAAAGTTAAACAGAAACTATTTTTGTAGGGCTAATGACAAAACCAAAATTTTTGTAAATGAACAAGATTTCCCAGACATTGGAAGGAGAAAGAATCAAATTGAGGCAGTAAGGAGAGAAATTTTGGATCATCGACGAGAAATCCGCCTTGTGCTGCATCAGCCTTCCCTAGACTATGTCACAGTAATGGGTATAGAGGTTAGACTTCTAATTTTCTACTATAAATCATTAACAAAGAATCATTTTACTGTGTCAAGTAATATATAAATCTTCTAATGGGCCTCTCGTCATTAAAGCAAGTACAAAGTGTGATGTATTTTGGAGACTGACATTTCCTGTGTTATATTGTAGTACCTGATAGAAGTCAGGAATGCCCACATTAATTTGGTCCCCAATGGCTGGGTCAGGATCAGCAGGTAGCATTACACCATTGTCAGATGACTATGTAACATAATTATACAGTTGCCTTTGTAAGATGTCTGTAATACATAATTGTACAGTTGTCTTTATATGTAACAAAATATAGAAATTAAATTGTTATACATGAAGTATGACCTGCTTTTTCATGCTGAGCTTAATTAAAATTTTGCATTTAAATTTACATCTTTATGATGGAATATACACGTGTACTTTGTAAAACAGTATATATATAGTTTGAAAATTATTTTATTTTAGATTTGAACTGTATGTGATCACCAATAATTTTTGTATTCAAAGAATGGAATTTTATAAATACAGGTACAAATAACCATATAACTATCTAAGTTACATGTATTTGATAACTGATATCTAACTTATTTCTACAGCACAAAAACTGTGACCCGCTTTCACTCTCCATTTATTGAGGCCAAAGTCAGGGAGCTGAGTCAGCTACAGGAACAACTGGTGTTAGACTCACAGGCAGCATGGGTGTCCTTCCTACGGTAAGAATAGTCTACACATAGCAGGCAGCGGTTTTAAGTAAAGTCACAATTTCAATTGATGGAAGAAGATTTGAATGATTATATAGCATCTTTTAGTTATGATATATCATATAACATTAAGCGTATTTAATCAGAAGTGATATGTGTAAGATTAAGTTTAAAAAATGTGTTATAATGTGTTTAAAATTTATAGCCAATTTAATGAGGGATTTAGAAGATATAAAACAGCTGTGGATCACCTAGCTACATTTGACTGCTTGTTTTCTTTGGCATTTGTTGCCAAGCATCAGGCCTTCTGTAGGTATGGTTACTTAAAAGTATACATTTGTACATGTAGCTGGTTTTGAAATGGTTGTGTGTAAATGTTAAAATATGCAGGAATGTAATGTGAGCCTCAAGACAGTCATTGAGTCAATATATAAGCACTATTTAGTATTAAAAAACTAGGGGTCAGTTAGCACTTTATGCTCTATTCACAGGCCAGACATACGTGCAGATGATGTTTGTATAGAAATAAAGCATGGCAGACACCCTATAATTCAGCATTTAATTGGAGAGGGTGGACAGTATGTAGCCAATGATACAAATCTGAAGGTAAGTGGGATTGTCCAAAAAAATAACCAACAAAAAATGCTAGACAATGTAGAACCAAGGAAAGTTACCATTATAATGTTGTTCAGCATGATAAATGGTGTAGTATGGATTCCATGAGATTTACCTATAGAGAGATTCTGTTGCAGGGTTCATCAGAGAGAGTGATGATTATTACTGGGCCAAACATGGGGGGTAAGAGCTCCTTCATCAAACAGGTAGCCATTATATGTATCCTGGCCCAGATAGGCTCCTATGTTCCAGCCGATTCTGCTAGAATAGGCATTCTGGATGCCATATTTACAAGGTCGGTTAAAAAAATAATAAATACTACAAATTATAACCTCTTTATTTGAGTAACTTGCAAGAAATCTTTTTCCTGCAGTCATACCCATGACACTTCATTACCTATAGTTTGATCTTGCTTTGTACATTATCCAGGATGGGAGCAGCTGATGAGATCTTCAGTGGTAGAAGCACTTTTATGGTAGAGCTCCAGGAAACCTCCGATATCCTTTCGCAAGCTACCTCACGTTCGCTGGTTATTCTGGACGAACTTGGACGGGGAACCAGTACACACGATGGTGTTGCTATTGCCTACGCCACCCTAGACTACTTTATCTCAAAGGTTATTGTAAAGCAGAACATTTTGTTCACTAAATTTCACTTTTAACATTATTAAATGGTTAAATTCATGGTTTTATAGAATTGTATCTCATTTTGTTGGTACTTGTACATGTATGGATGTGTATTTGCTTTATGTTGAATTTCATTTACAAAGACATTTTAAGATATAACGTTTCTTTTTTTAAAAATCAAATACAGGTTCAGTGCCAAACACTATTTGTGACACATTATCCAATTCTGGCAGAGTTTGAAAAATTGTACCCTCAGAATGTTGGCAATTTTCACATGGGATTTATTGTACATGAAGATAATGAAACAGGTATACCAGATATAAAACATTAGACTGGTTTCTTATCGAATGAATTTGAATATTTTCACTTCATATTTGCAAACAAGTTCACCCCATTATAAATGTGCCCAGACAAAGTTGCATTTAATTAAGTGATGTCGCTGTCTTCTCGGAATATTTGCTCTGTCTGAAATTTGCGCACTTTGGACGGGTGCATTTGAAGGGTTGAAAATTTCCTTTCATTCAGTAATAATCTACATGTATATATTGTATACAGGGAAATTTTCGCCCCATTTGGCCCTAACCTTCGTTGGGTGAATTAAAACAGGGCGAATTCAAAGAATGCAGTATAATTTCTTAAACAAAACTGTGATTGGGCGAATTTAAGATGGGACAAAATTGTTTGCACATGTGAAAGGGCGAAAATAAAGAGAAACAAATTAACCATGTATACATTATTTTTTGTTGTTTGTAAACAATTTCCAGATGGTGAAGACAAACAAACAATAACTTTTCTTTACCAACTGGCAAGAGGGATGGCAGCCAGAAGCTATGGTTTAAATGTTGCTCGACTCGCTGGAATACCTCACAATATTATAAAAGCTGCAGCTCGGCTGTCATCACAGCTGGAGGAGAAAATCCAGAAAAGAAGGTGAGGTCCTTTACAAATACAGCTTTTAACTTGCTTGTGAATGGCGATTTTCTTTATGAATCCAGCAATCCTCTAGTTTAAAAATAGGAATTGGATTACTAGATGTTTAGAGATCACATTCATGTACAGTAATTATGGCAGTATTAGCATTTGCTTTGAAGGCCCCCCCCCCCCCCCCCCCCCCCCCCCCCCCCGAAGTTTCAATATTTATTTTCGTCTAATCTTTTTACAAAGTACATTTATATATATCTTAGATTTCTTCTTTAAAATATCGAAATATCCTGTTGTTTTTGGGTAATAAATATTAATCATTTTTGTAGATTAGAACTGGAGGCCTTTCAGAAAATTATGTTGGCAGCTGATGATGATGAACTACTTCAGTGTACAAAGACATTTTTGAAATCAAATTCTGGACAGAGTGATTTACCAGAATGAATTTTCATAATGTTGCATGAACAAAAATAAAATATGAAAGCAAATGTGTACATGTATTTCCATTCAGTATTTTTCCCTGAAGTTGAAGTTCTGTTGACATAGGATGATTGACACATTGCTAACTAAAAGTATAAGGAAGTTCTTATAACAAAAATATTGAATTCTTTAAAATAGATATAAATTACTGAATGATGTGATTTATCCCCCCTCCTTACAAAACCCAACCATTAAGTGGGTTAGTTCTATTGCTGCATATTCATTGGTTCCTTTTACAACTTTGTCCATTTGGAAGTTTACTGTAAAGTTTACACCATGTTTTAATGTTTACAAACACAGCATCCATTTCTCCTGCTACAGGATGTTTTATTGTAGAGTGTAGGAAAAAACCTCCCACATCCTCAAAAAACTGTTTTAAATGTTTGAGCTTCTCGGCTGTTTTGATGGAATCCACATAATTCCTGCTTTTGATTAAGTACTCTATTGTCCACACATCCACTCTGACTTTCCCTGAAATTAAATCATCTTTAATGGACTCTAATACTAAGAGCTCGGCTCCCTCTACATCAAGTGAGAAGTAATCTATGTGATGTATTCCAATTTTGTCCAACACAGCTCTCAATCGGTAACACTGCACTTTGATAACTTCAGGGTTACTTAGCAGGTTTTCATGCTTCTCTAGATCTTTCAATGCTCCAAATACATCGTCTTTTACAAAGTCTACATTTTTCTGATTATTTGAGATACAACCACACAGTCTCCATGCATGTCGCATATGGCTGTCAATTTGACGACAAAGGTCTGGGTTCGCCTCTATCAGCAAACCAAGCCAGTGGTGTTGGCGCTCTAACCATAGAGTGTTCGACAAGTGCTTGCCATCGAACGCTCCCATCTCTATGTAAAATCCGTTTTCTTTAGGAAGTATATTATACACCATCTCGTCCTGTCCCGCCTGGGAATATTTGACGTCAGGGTTGTCCTGTTCTTTAATGGGATGCGGGGAGAGTAAATTTTCATCGATGCGGTCTTTAAGATTGAGGTAGTAAATAATATACACTACTACTGATATCACAGCCACAAAGAGGAACAAACGTTTGTTTTTCCTTATCCAGTCCCTACAACTGAAAAAATACTGCATTTAATTACCTGAAACTGTAAGAAATTTATTACTCTCAATGACATATGCATCATATCTACCTTAGAATATATGCCCTGTCAGCTCATGTAGCCGTTCCTTCTCTTATTATTATATACAAATGTTAGCAATGTACTTTCTCTTTGCCCCATGAGAACCCTCAATTGGTCAATAAACAAATTGTATTGAAAATTATTTTAAACAAAACTCGCTTTAAAAAAATGAAATTTAAGGGGACGACCATTTGTTTCTGAAGGGGGGGGTCAGATTTTGGAAATAAATAATCTGTCCTTGAAAATGTTGAAAATAAATAATCTGTCCTCGATTGGCAAGGAAATGGTTAATCTGTCCCCTTCCCCCCCCCCCCCCCCCACCACGAATTAGAGTTGTGGACTTCGATGTTTTCTAGTTTTCTTTCTTTTTTTTTTTTTTGGCTTCGACTTTTTCAGTGAAGAAGAAAATAAATAATCTGTCCTTGATCTTATTGGAAATAAATAATATGTCCTTTACCAACATGAAAATATGTAATCTGACTCGAAAAAAACTGCCCTTACCCCTCTCCCCTCACAATCAAATGGTCGTCCCCTAAACAAACGACATACATTTTACAGAGCTTTTGTGTCTCATGAATCTCTTCCTAAGCAAGTATACTGGACTCTTCATTTTACCTGAGGTTCATGATTTCTAGCAGCACATAGGTCATTTTTTATTACTTTAAAACAGGTCTGATAATTCTAGGGGAAGGGGGATAGAATCCCTGACCACTTTCTAGATCTGTGTACGTTTCAGACCATACCCCCCCCCCCCCGCCGTTCTCTAGATCCATGCAAAGTGTTTGCAGAATTAATGCAATGATTTCAAAGAGGTCATGGGCAGGGAACCTGTTTTCAGTTTTCTGCGATATATGATGGTTTTTGCGCATCGTACTGAAAATTTTCAAAAATGGTCAACGTAGCCTAAAAACTATCAAACATTCAAAACATTTCCTACCTAAAGCCTGGCGATGCCCTCATTGTAAAACACAGGTGTGTTCACGTTGTTCATTTTATTTTCATAATGGATTTCCGTTAGACCCGATAAGCTACTTTTAAATTAAGAAGTCGTATTTAAGTCTTATTGCTAAAGCAGGTTCTTTAAAGGTATGTTCTTAAAAACGTCCAGGATAACAACAGTACGATCCGGCATTTGGACCAATTTTAATTTTATATGTTGATTCACAAAATCATGAATTTCGGAGGCTCGCAAGAAACAATATATTTAAACGCAGTTTTCATTCATAATTATGCCCCCCCCCCCCCAAATTTCAAGATCATATCCAGTAAAATAAAGTAAGTAAATACGGATAAATTATCATAATTATAAATATATAAACATGTACAAATTATCCGTTAAAATTAGTGTCTTTGTATTTAACAGCCAAATGTATTGCATGAAATAAAAATATTTCCATATTACATGTAGGTATCTGTTCATTTAATTTATAAAAAATTCTTTGAAAATTATGGATTGATAATGTATCTTTCAGAAGTTCTCGTTTAGCTTTCACAATAAAATTTTATGACTTAAGATTCCATTAATTTTGTGGATTAAACAACCGCAGTCAAATTCATTTATACATTTAAGGGGACCGACTATAGTTTTATTGTGTGCAAACTACAATAGCGAAACTCTTCATTTTTATACCATATATAACTTACATTATTTTCAGTGTACATGCAAAGTTTGGGGGAAATCTACCGTCCAGGTATTTTTGAGGGACCGTCTCAAAATACAGGTACATTTACTATAGGATTATATAGGAAAATGCCAAATTTTAGCACTTTAAAGCAAATTATACAAATACTACAATAGACATTTTGTTCAAACTATGATATTTGATGAGTAATACTATATTTTACAATATATGTAAGAAACACAAAATTCTACCGTCTTGTTACCAGAGGGGGCATCTCAAAATGCAAAAAAATTTGCAAATTTTACTATTTTTATAGAGTACTACAAAATATGACGTACACAATGGATTCACATAAAAACATAATAAAAATATTGGAGATATTCTCAAATTTCTATGTTTTAAATTTCAAAAGCGTATGTTTGTTACTTTTTCTTAAATAATATTTTTATTACTCTTTTCTTTAAGAGCTACAGATTATCATAACGTCAAAAACACACTGCAACGACGTCAACCTACCTATCAATTGCAAAATCGGTTAAAAAATCAGTTATATCAAATTTTGTTACATTTTTATACCTATAATTTCTTAATTTTGTTTAATTTTAATAATTAAGCGAAAAAAGTTCCATTAAAACAGTAAATACGCTTCGTTTTACTATGATGTGCGAAATATTGCGCAATGAAAACTATAGTCGACCCCCTTAAATATAAATTTAAACGAGGTTGTTAAAATCCCTGGATCATCGATTTATCTGTCAGTTGCCTGCCTCGGTTTAAGATTGATTGTTGTTGGCCGTATTTACCTTACGCTTGCATTCAAATATGATACTCAGTACATGCAAATATGGCAGACTCTGTGGTATCTTTTATTCCGATTTCACTGGGATACAATTAGTCAATGGGGGTATCTATTGTTTATTTATATTATAACCGTCGATATGTCTGAATCTTGAGTTAAATGACACAGCAAATTAAGTTTATATTTTATCCATCTCACAACCCTTTTTAGAGGTCTCTACAAGTGATACACACGCTTGATTAAAATTATTTGTTAGATTGCTGAAAATTCACTTCAAGCGAGTTCATTCCCTGTAGAGACAACTATAAATGGTTGGGAGGTGGATAAAATATACATACTGGCTACAGAATGTGTCTTAGGGAGTAAAAGGTAGTTGATTGACCAATGCTAGAAAGTAGAGAAATTCTCCCTAAAAGTGCGCAAAATATATTGCGCCGTAAATTGCACCTTTTTTTGCATTACGTGATCTGTAGCGTCATGGTCAAAGACAAATATATAAAAACCATAACGCTACAGATCCGCAGCTAAGTTTAAGTATAATTTCTCAAACAGAAGGGTAAATTTAAAACAGGGCAACACATTTTGCGAGTAGAAAGGCCCCAAATACTGAAAATAACCCTGTATGCGAACTTCAGTAAATGGCCGAAGCCAGGCCTAGAGGCAAATGTATAAGCCAATTGCAGAGAGCGCCAAACTATATTTTTAGGTCACCTGAGTAAACTCAGGTGACCTATTGCTATCCGTTTTCGTCCGTCGTCGTTCGTCGTGCGTTAACATTTGAACATTTTCAGCTTCTTCTCTGCAACCACTGAACCAATTTCAACCAAATTTGGCACAAAGCATCTATGGGTGAAGGGGAACAAAAATTATGAATTTCATGCCCCCCCCCCCCCCCCCCCCGGGCCTGAAGGGTGGGGCCAAAACCACTAAAATTAGTGCAATCTTTAAAAATCTTCTTCTTTACTTCTGGAATCAAGCAGTCAAACTGTTTGCATGATTGTAATCAGCATTAAGTTCTCTACCAAAATTGTGAAATTCATGGCCCCAGGGTCAGGGATTCTAGTGCTAGGGCGGGGCTCTATTGATTATATAGTGAAAATGAATTATTTCTTTAAAAATCTTCTTCTCTACTCCTGGGTATCAAATAAACTAAGTAAGTACATAGTTATGATGAGCAAGAGTGCCTCTACCAAAATTGTGAATTTTATGGCCCCAGGGTCAAGGGTTCTGGTGTTAGGGCGGGGCTCCATTGAATATATAGTGAAAATACATTAATTCTTTGAAAATCTTCTTCTCTGCTCCTGAGTATTAAATAAACTAACTTAGTACATAGTTATGATGAGCAAGAGTGCCTCTTCTAAAGTTGTGAATTTTAGGGTCCCAGCGTCAGGGGTTCTGGTGTTAGGGTGCGGCTCTATTGATTAGGTACATGTATATAGTGGAAATGCATTAATTCTTTGAAAATCTTTTTCTGTGCTCCTTGGTATTAAATAAACTAACTAAGTACATAGTTATGATGAGCAAGAGTGCCTCTTCTAAAATTTTGAATTTCATGGCCCCAGGGTCAGGGGGTTCTGGTGCTAGGGCAGGGCTCTATTGATTATATAGTGAAAATGCATGAATTCTTCAAAAATCTTCTTCTCTGCTTCTGGGTACTAAATAAACAAACTAAGTACATAGTTATGATGAGCAAGAGTGCCTCTTCTAAAATTGTGAATTTTATGGTCCCAGGGTCAGGGGGTTCTGGTGTTAGGGTGGGGCTCTTTTGATTATATAGTGAAAATGCATTAATTCTTTGAAAATCTTTTTCTGTGCTCCTACGTATTAAATAAACTAAGTACATAGTATGGCACGCCGATTGGTTCAAAATTATTTTCTGCACAACGATCACGATTTTATACACGAGCTAGAAGAAAAATATACACGAGTAAAATAAAAATGCACGTATCGGTAAAAATTGCACATAGTTTAAAAGATTTTTACACAAACATAACGAAAAATACACGAATCCGAAATTTTTTACACGATTAAAGGGTTTAATATGCACAAACAAAAATCGAAAATTGCACGAGCAGAGGAAACTAAAAATTACACAAACAATTTTACTGCGCATACAGCTGCGCATATCATTACTATGCACATAGAATATTGTTTTGAACATATTTTATTGTCAAGCAAAAGGATAAGAAACAAGTTCTAACAACTTACTAGTTCTTCTCCTTAAAAAACACATAATAATTGTCATGCAAAATAGAAACAAAAACGTGTACAAATAAGATTCAATAATATATCTAGCTAAATCTACAGGATTCATTTATAAATTTATGAACAGCGGCAAAAATGTCACTGTTTACTTCGATTGAGAGATTTTCATTGCCCCATAGCAGTAGGTGTACATCTATGATGTTTAAATCAAGTCGAAAAAGATAGTCAAAAAGATTACTTCGAGCATTACAGTATTTTTTACAAACAAAGAAAAAATGATAGGCATCTTCGTGTTTACCACAAGAGCAGTAGGGATTATCAATAATATTACGTTTGAATAAGTCTTGGTTCAAAACACATGCAGTTATGCCTTAATTTAGTATGAATAATGTTGGTAATACGTTTACCAAACAAAAAATATGATGGTGCTTTAGGATTATTATCACTTATATTCTTACGAAAAGAATTGACTGAGATGGCTTCCCTTGTATCTTTATTCAGTAAATTCCATTTTTTAACTGCATCAGGTACAAAAGATTTGTTAAATATTTCTAACCTGCCCCTTGGGATAGTTAATTGATCCTTATTTCGTGTATTGTATCTTGATGTGTGTTCTCGTTTCTTTGGGACTATGTCTTGTATATATTCCGGTACATTACAATTATTAATTTTGAACATTGTAATCATTTTAGATTGGTAACGACGGTTTTTCAAAGGTACCCATCCTGTTTCAAAATAGAGTGATTCTCTTGAAGCTAATATAGGAAGACCAGTAACTATTCTAGCAGCCATTAATTGTACTTTTTCAAGTTTTTCTACATCAGATAAAGAGCAACCATCCCAGACAATTGAAGCATATTCAAGTGTAGGTCTTACAAATGTTGTATACAAAAGAGAAAGATTTTTCCTACCGATTGAAAATTTCAACTTCTTCAATAACCCCAATTTCTTATAAGCATTATTAACAATACCATCTATATATTCAGACCAGTTGAGATTTTGTGACAATAATATACCCAAATGGCGATGCGCCGATACAAACTCCAGTGCATTACCTTGAAAATACAAGTTAGGTAAAACAGGTCTATGTTTTAAAGAAAAAAATACAACCTTTGTTTTTGCTGGATTGAATCTTAAAAGCCATGTACTCGACCATTTGTCTAAAACATCAAGATCGTGGTTTAACCTGTATTCAATATCTAGTACATTATATGATGCATGTTGCAGTGAATTGTCATCAGCAAATAATCTACACATTGTAAGCATATTTTCAGCAACATCATTAATATATATCAAAAATAAAAGAGGACCTAGAACTGAGCCTTGAGGCACACCTGCATATATATTGAGGTTGGATGATAGCAGATCTTTATACATAACTTTTTGTGATCTATTTCTCAAGTAACTTGTAAACCACAGTAAAAGATCACCAGATATTCCGTACGTTTGTAATTTGAAAAG